GGTTGAGGGAGGGGTAGAGATAGGGGAATGAGGGGGAAAAGGAAGGTACTTTTTCTTTTGGTTTCGAGAAGGGCGGGAGGTTTTGGAATTACGTAATCTATTACGGATGAGTTAACGTAAGTTGGAGGTTCTTTTTAGATAGTAAGAATAGAAACCAAGTTAATTTAATTAATACGAGTAAATAAATATTCTTAAGAACTTATTCTCGCTTCATACACCTTAGTTTAATATCTAGGGTACTATTAATACGTAGAGAACTTAGACTTAGGTACTACGGTTTATTTAAATAGGTAGATAAACGAATAGTTCCTTTAGAATTAAAAAAAAAACTTACTTTCGAAGGAGGGAAAGACGTCTTATATAATAGTTCGGAAATGATATAGAAAATACTAGTAGACTCTAGCTTAACTTATTTATATTTCTACGATAATTATATCGGTAGAATAAACTAGGTAGGGTTTCAAGGAACTAATTATAAGCTATTTTCCGTTTCTAACGGGACTAGAAATTTGCGCAGATAAACTAAGATCTATTGAAAATTTGCTTTTTTCGGTAGTCTAAGTAAGGGTAATGGGCGTTAAATGAAATATAGGAATGTACGTTAGTAATCAATTCACCTCTGGTTAAGTGATGATAAGTGCGTAACCAGAGACATGTAAATAGTAAAGGGTGTTAAGTAATTTTCGTGTCTTAGGTATGCAGCTTATCTATTTTTGAAAGACGGAAATACCACGTTGTTCATCGCATCCTATAAGTGTCCTCGAGACTTCTGATCTACGACTCTTCTAAGAACCCGCCTTGAAACGAGAAATTTAATAAGGCACCGTAAGTAGAAGATGAAAAACATAATAGAGTTGTCTATCAAGCGATATCCCCTCAAAGCTCGGGTCCGGTAATGCTGTTCTTCTCACCAACTGCAAGTACATTAGCACAAAGTTCTTACATAAGAATATAAAAGTAGTCTTACCATCCAGCGCGACGAGGAATCTGCTAACACAGTTATACGCAGCAACCTACACAGAAGATTAGTAAACATCCAACCTCAACATCAACGTCACTGCAAGAAAACCCACAGTAGCAGTAATCTCCACCACCTCCCTCTCACTAAACACCTCCCTCAACTCCTTAAAAACCCCCTCGGGAACCTTAACACTCTTCGTCATCGCATCCGTATACCTCACAACCGCCCACTGCTTCCGACTCAACACACCCTCCCCCTCAACATCCTTCGCCCCCAACACCTTAATCCCCTCCTCACTCACCCCCGCCGCCTTCGCAAGAGGAGCATGATGGCCCCATTCATACCACGCCTCATTCACCACCGCAACCCGACAAATCGCAATCTCCCTCACATCATCACTCAAGCTCGTCTTTGTCCGGATCGCGCCTAGGAAGGAGTTCCAGCCGTCCGCCACGGGGGGTGCATGGAGAAGCGTCAGATCGAGCGCTTGGAGGGGTCGCGGGGCTCGACGCTCGCGCACGCGGGAGACGATTGCGGAGGCTTCGGGGGTGGTGAGGGCTGGCGAGGAGGGGTCTGCGTAAGGGAGCTTCATGGTTTGTGTGCGGGTGTGTGAGAATACTCTTGTGTTGATGGAGTTGGGGGTGAAAGGGGTTCTTTTATAGAACTTGTGGAGGAAGGTGAGTCGCATTCTTAGTGACGACGAGACTCGGTGTTGACTCTAAAGTGACTCGATGGCGGGGGGATGTCGGGTGAAACCTTTTGCGATGCCCATTCATTCCGAGGTTACTCGGTTGGAACTGCCATTTCATCAATTTAGGTTAACGTTCGTGAGTTCTTTGAGCTCTTCCTTGAATTTGTCGCACCGCGCGAGCACTCTCATTGGTCATTTTCAGTGTTAGATATGTCGGGTATACCACATAAGGAAAGTTGCACAAAAGTGATCGTACCCAATGTTGTACAAGCTTAATACCTCTTGGGATGATTGATTGGATCTGCTCTCAAGTGCTCATCATTGCAAGAGAAAATATTAAAAGCGTTCGTTTCCACGATACCATTCATACCTAAGAAATAGACATACTAGCATGCAAGGTCATATATGACCTGACCCCACCTTCGCTGCCTTCTCTGCCCTCTATGCATCAAAAACTCCGATATTTGGAACAAGCAACAGTACAGATGTTTTGGTCTATGAAAGATCGTTTCCATAGCCATCCTCGAATACCCACCGTTCCCATTCCTTCCCACAAACCCAGTCCATTATTCACATGTAGCCGCGGAGGAAGTGTGCGTTCTCAATTGTCTTTTATGGTCCTCCATTTTCTCAAGTCGAGTTGAGTCGTTTAACAAGAGACATCCAAGCTGGCCTTTGAGTTCATCAGAAGGGCAACGATCAAACCGTAAAGACCTTAAATGTGTTAGTGCCACCCGTTGCTTCCGAAAACGTGTGTAACGTACCCAAGACTTCAGCGAAAATGAGAATAAGAATCATTCCAACGAAGAGTCGAGGCTGCTGTGCGGTTCCTCTAACACCAGCATCACCGACAATACCGATTGCGAATCCAGCCGCGAGACCAGCCAAACCGACACTAAGACCAGCACCAAGTTGAATGAATCCAGTATACAGGGGTAGTTGTTGCTTAAGTCCATCCGAGATCAAAACCGATACGACCAATCCGTAAATACCAATAATACCAGCCATAATAACTGGTACGATGTCTATACAACAAGTTAGAACATCGTCTTCAGCTTCGATCGATTCCTAAACCTACTCTTGACAATCAAATCAGGTCTGAGAACACCCATTGCGCAGATTCCAACACCGGACTTGGCGGTCCCGTAAGCAGCACCGAAGCAGGTGAACACAATGGCAGATGTGCAACCCATAGCACCAAAGAATGGCTATGAAAAGAGTCAGCATGATGAAATCGATGTTTCTGAGACCTCGAGGCAGCAGGCAGATTCGACACTCGACACGAGAAGGTAAAGGAACTGTCTCATGGGCTTGGGAGTACGAACCGCATAGACCGGGCTACAAGATAATATGTTAGCATATACATCAAATCAAGGGTGAGGTACGCGATAGCCCTCTTATCTCGGATTGAGCATAGGATAATGCTAATCACAGAGAAGATGACGGGGGACCAAGAACTGACCAGTTCACGAAGGAGTCGACAACATCTCCGGCAGACATGGTGGCGGTTGTAGAGAGTGTAGTTAGTAGATTTGTAGTTGATTCTGCAGCTATGTGAAGCTTCTCGGGCGATGATTGACAAAGGTGGTGATGGCGTAGAGCTTGCGAAGTTGTTGTCGAAAGGCGATGATGCTCTGAGGTCGGGTGAAGAGTGTTTGCTTCCACTTCCAGCTTGGTCCGAGCTAGGCCTAATTTGGTTGGCGTGGCGCAACACTAGCGTGGGTCCGAATTTCTCTTGGGTTGACAATTTTTGAAGCTCCCGCGCATCTCGAACATTTATCTCAACTCTTCAACTTCGACGTCCATTTCAAGAAAAGCACCAGGGCGAGCCAACGCAAGGAACCCTGACAGCTTCAGATCGCTCGCATATCAGATTCGACATATAATCTCTCACCCTCCATAAATTCCACCCCTCCACCAAGATGGCTGAAGAACAAAATGCATCCGCTGGTAAGCTTTGCGCTTCACTTTTTGTTTTGAACGACAACTAACAACTTTCCAACAGCTTGGCCTGTCGCCGATGCAGCTTTGACTCAAGAGATTCTCGACATTGTCCAACAAGCCTCCCATTTCCGCCAATTGAAGAAGGGAGCCAACGAGGCAACCAAGACCTTGAACCGTGGTATCTCTGAAATTATTATCCTCGCTGCAGACACCGCACCTCTCGCCATTCTCCTCCACTTGCCCCTCCTTTGCGAGGATAAGAAGTGAGTTCGTCCTATTCCGATTCCAGGCACTCTTATGCCAGCTTGTTCCGCGTTTCGGAGCTGCCGAAAGCTATCGCAAACTTTCTACTACTTCTCAGAATTCAAGCTAACTTTGTGTTTCTAGCGTTGCATATGTCTATGTGCCATCTAAAACGTAAGGAAACTTCTCCTCCCCCGGGGCCTCAATCAAACTTCTCCGACCTCGCGAAATACCTCGAGCTTTCCTCCTGTAAATATACACCAATACTGACTTTTGATATAGTGCCCTCGGAAGAGCCTGCGGCGTTAGCCGAGCCGTCATTGCTGCCAGTATTACCACCAACGAGGCCAGTGATCTCATGAACCAGATTAGAACCTTGAAGGATAAGGTCGAGCGACTTATGATCTAAAGTTCTAGGTGGATAGATACCCCGAGTTGTCACATAGGCAATGGAGTTTGGCTGCGGCCTAGAGATTCGGACATTGGTGTGAAGAATACAGAAAATGAAAATACCAACTTGTTGCATGGCATCCTATCAGTCTCTTACCGGCATTATTCATCCTGATTATTCCACACTTGTTCTGGATTTTTGGAAATCAGTATACAAACTTTGTCATTTGATGTAGACGTATTCGCTCAGTTGGCTTTCGATATCCATTCAGGTACGCTTGAGGGACCAGAATCGCGTTACTCTTGTTTCTTATTCAGAGTTTCAAGGATCAATGCAGCTTTCAAATACTTGAGGCCAGCCTTCAAAATCGTCCAGAGAAATCGTAAGAACTTTTTCCCGTTGTTCATATCTTAATCTTGAATCAAGTCATGCGCTGCGAGAATTGTAGGGAAGCTATGATCTCAGAGGGGTGATTTCAAAAGCGCTTGTCTACCAATAGTTTCAGTTTATCAAGTTAGCTCGATCATCTGTGCAGGGGTTTTCACCGATGCCCCAAGTCGCCCTTTTACCGCAAAATGGATCTCAGCGATACTACTAACTTTTTGCAAATTTTACGTCGAAATTTCATAGCGTATTCCTGAACTTCACTTTTGTAATCAATGGGGGTGTTGTCATGTTTCCTCGTGTGAACCTGATTTCGCTTGGATAGCTTCATGGCCAATACCAAGCCTGGGTGTATTTCAGGGAAATGATCATGTCGTCTTTTCAAGAAGAGAGGGACCAGCAATTGATTCTGCTGTACGCCTCTGAGGGAGGCTTAATATTGGGTCGAAGAGATAAAAGGCCTTGAGCGGGCTATTGGAGGATGGGAGAGGTTTCATTGTATTATTACCGAGAAGAAAGGTAATGTTCGTAATACAAAGGTTGCAGAAGTAGCTGTACAAAATCTCTCATTTACAAAAAAACAAACACTCCAAATCTCACTCAGAAACTCCTGTGATGGTGCGTGCTAAACAAGATACCACGTCCTCTGGCCTAATTCTGCTAGAAGTACTTCATTTTTGACGTACTTTAAAGTCAAAGCCAGGCGCTGTATTAGCAGTATCAGCCTTTCCGTCAAACAAACCATCCTTCAATATCCAACACTTGTTCATCTCCCCATGAAAATGACCTCCAGGCCCCACCTCCCTTTCCCCGTACGCAATCTGTGGCATAAAATATCGATAACCGCGATTACGCAGCAAAGAACAAGCGAAATACACTAGCATGGCATACACTTCAAGCATATGCATGTATACTCCATACTTTGGATCTTGATCAAAGAACAGTGGTGTATTGAGGACGACGGTAATGTATTCGAGGTTCTCAAGATGAGGAAGCAATCGGTAACGATCCAAGTTTTGAATCAGGTGTTTCCCAATCTTTGTTGCCTTCTTTTTGAGAGTGTTTCCGTCTTCGCCCCATTCTCCAAATTTGGTTATCAAATCCTCGGGAATGAGTGAGTATTCTAGCTTGGTGACGCATGAGAAGAGGGAATTTAGGAACATGTGGTTTCCAAATGACCGGCTCCATTCTAGGATCTCCTTGTCCAGACACCTGTTTGGGGGGCTTGTTTTCAAGAGCTCTGCGGTGTGGAGTCGGATCGTATCTCTTCGAGGACTGAACCATACATATGCGTAATCTCGCGGGGCTTTTGTCAACACGTGTGTGTCGTAGTACATGGCTGTGAACTCTCTGCTCTCTCTGTTTATGTAATTCGTGACTGGAGCCTTTTTGAAGAAGTTGAGCCAGTTCAGAGTATTGAGACGGAGATGGAGGAGGGCATTTGAGAGATTGAATTGTCGTGGCGCGGGGAGGAGGAGCTCAAAGATCGCTAGTCGGAGTTCGATGGGCAGGTCTGGGAAGAATTTGAATTGAGGTGTTTCGTCGGTTTGATCTGTCGTTCGATCTGTGTTTCCTGCTTGGGGCTGGACTAGCCATGAGGGGTCGGTGTCAATATCGCTCAATTCCTGCTCCTGAGTGACACACTGCTTCAAAGATAAGTCAATAAACGTACGTCTATCAGACTCTAAGATAGTTACAGGCAATATCACCTCTGCGTCCATGATCAATTGCTGGGTCCTTCTCTGGTGTTGGCGAAAGCGATATGTAAAGCGATGGTGATGGTCGTGTCTGAAGATAGCGAAAGACTACAGACAAGTCGGAGACTTTTGAAAGGACTATGAGCCAGATCAAAGACCGAGGTGATCCGCCGATTTACTCAGACAACGTGTTTTGTCGGTGCAATTGGAAGATGCGCTCAGAAGGGATGCTAAACAGAACAACTTTGTGAGCGAAAATGTGGGAAAAACTTTTTAGGTGGCTCCCTTTGGTGATCTGTCTGGAACGCGTCAGCTAGGATGGCGTGCTAATGAAAGTAGATTCACTTACCTCTCAAGGTAGTGAATTGGTTTATCTGTCTGGAACGCGTCGGCCAGGATAGCGTGCTGATCAAAGCAGATTCACCTACCTGTCAAGGCAGTGAATTGGTTAAGATTCATCTCATTAGTTAGTAAACTCGCTTGTCTCTACATACGTCGCTATTTTATATTCATGTAAGCAATACATATCGCTTAGAACTTCGTCTAGCGATAATGAAAAAGAGAAAACAAACACTCCCTTATTTATGTAATTTAATACAGAGCGCCTTATTATTTCAAAGGGTTTAAGAAAGTAAAAAGACTAATCTCTATAATACATAGGATGTGTTTTGCGTATCGAGGGTGACTAAGCAACTTGCATATATCGTTTGATCCTTTCAATCACTTGTCCACAACACAACAACAACTCCACTGATTGTTGTTGTACGCTTGCAAGAGGCGTTTCTTCTTGAAAGGCTGGTCCTCTCGCCAGTCAAAGTCATAAATACTCTCTTTCGAAGTTAATTCGACAACTCAGCAATATGACTGGTACTGGTTCAGGAAGTCAACCGGGCCCAGGTGGCCCACCACCACTACCACCACCACAACAATATCTACAATTATCTTTTGAGGTCAAATGAAATTGGACGAACACGACCATCGTATACAACTGTTGACCCAGGAGGCTCAGGCGCGAATGCATGCAATTACGAACAACCCAGGAATTTACGCTCAAAATCAAAACCAAGTAGTTAGAGTAGGAGGTGCTGCTATGGGCCCAGCACAAGTATAGGCAGCAGGCGGATTACAAGTACAAGACGATGATGACAAAGGTAAGTTGATAGAAGAGCAGAAACAACATCTACAATTCCAAGAGATCAACCGCAAACACGCGGTGGATATTGTACTAGGAAAGTTAGATCTAATCAACGTCTGAAAATTGACCTTTACGGCGGATTTTAACGACGACGAGAGAGATTATAATGTGGTATTTGACAATAGAAAAATGAAGAGTAAGAGTGTAAAAGTCAAAGGCAAATTGAAGGATTGCGGAAATACATATGTAATTTGAAGCGAAGGTTGTAAGTAATATTCTAGACTAGTTGTTTATAGATACTTAAGAGAACGCCGGGAAGGCTTGATCAATATTGGGGGCACGGTATATCATGTTCCTTTACCTTTTCAGAACCTATTAATAAATTTTACAAGTAATAATAGGTTAGTAAAAGAATCTCTTACTGATTCTCAATTCTCTAGATTGTTTCAGTAGAGCTTACTTACTCTAGCACATAAAATAAAATAAGCGACTAACTAAATAGAAATATATTCAACTTAACTAAAAGCCTTAATAGACCTTACTTTGGAGGAGATTCTACGAAACGAATTCCAGGACCCGAAATTATAAGACTCATTTCTATAAGTAATGTTAGAAACTCCGTCTAGTTAATAATAAAGAAAGTGTGAATAGACAAATCAAAGGTGTCGTCCAAGACACTAACTAAAGGATACCTTTCATAGTATCTATGACGTCTTCGATTTAGTTTTTAATAAATTCATTCATAGTCTTAGAATGTAAACAGGACGCAAAAAGAGAAAAGAAGGATGAAGAAAAAAGAGTAGAAAACTACAAGAAAAAGAATAGTTTGCCGAAGGTCGTACCCGGGCTCGAACTATTTCGTTGTTAGAAATGACTTTGCCGGAGCTAGTTTCCTTACACATACCCGGGGATTCGGGAAAATTTTGAGGTTATCAAAATCCCACTGTTTCCAAGTCAGTGGGCCGAATCATTCAAATTGTCAAGTGTGGGACTAACCGTGCTAGCCACTACACTATACAACCGGTGATGTTCATCATTGAAGATGATTTCTGTTTGACGACACTGGTTACAATTTGACCCTATGATTACATTTGGGACGTGTAGGTCAGGCTATGGCAGGAACCAATTAGATGTCTCCGATATTCCGGACTTCATGCGAAATCTTCCGATGGCGTTCCGAAACAACGTCGATGGGAGACACGATACTACCGGTTTCTCTCCTGAGTAGCGCCTTCTGTTCCCGTATAACAAATTCATGGAAGTCGATAGTTCAGCCAACCCATCGCGGGTTGACGACCACGATCAAGCACCTCTCTTGTCAAAGACACAGAGCCATGGGAGTGAAATCCGTCCACGGACCGAGTCAAACAACTCGGACCGCAACATCACAACCCCCTTCTCATTACTGGTCTTTTACTTCATGGCAGTCAATTTCTTGCTAGCATTTGGTGAGCATATCATAGTGGCGCCATTGATCAAGCTCTTCGAGAACTCTTTGTGCTTATCGCATTACGGCTTTCCTGACCATGTGCTCGATCCGGAATTATGTCAGATCATCGACGTTCAGCGGCCTCTTGCTCAGATTCGAGGATGGAAATCGATGTTTGATGTTATTCCAGGTACGTTCCAGTTTGCAGTCCTCTAATAAATTATCTGTTGAAACTTTTCTGTAGTTATCCTGGTGACAATTCCGATGGGAAGACTGGGAGATCGGTATGGGCAAAAGAACTTGGCCGCATTGGCGATCTTCGGATTCGCTGGGTCGTTATGTGAGATACTCATTGTTTGTAAGATCAACTCATAGCCTTGATCTTGAAGCTTGCCAACATCTATAGGTGCATTCCCAAAAGTCTTTCCTCTTCAACTCGTATGGTTCTCATCCGCCATTCTACTGTTGGGAGGCGGATTAAATTCAGCTTCAGCCTACATGTGGGCAATGGCATCACAAACCATTCCCTCAGCTAAAAGGCAAGGCTCTCTTTCATTGACCACCTTACGCACTCTAATGTATTTCTAGGAGTCACGGCTTCTATATTATGTTTTCTGCATATTATATTGCTGAGATGGTCGCGTCGTTTATTGCCACTGTGACTACCGATATATCTCCTTGGGTTCCATGCGGACTGTCATTGGTCTCTGTCCTTGCTTGCTTGCCAGTCCTATCTGCTATGCCAAACGTAAAGCCAGCAAAACCTCTATCAGAATCTGGAATATTTGGTGAGGGGTTGGAAGCCCGTACGGAAGAATCTGCCATCATTTCAACCTTGAAAAGAATCCTCAGAGTATCATCAATCAGGAATGTGCGCTTCACAATACCCGTATTTCTTGTTGGTATTCTGAGATTTGGGACTCTCAACATTCTTATCCAATACGCTCATGTTCGCTTCAAGCAAAAGATATCCACTGGAGCTGCTTATTTCACGGAAACGGCCATCGTCAACATATTCCTCTTTCTTTTTCTCATACCACAGGTGACCTCTTATATTCGGCGAGAATACAAGATCAGGCCTCAAGTTATCGATCTGTTCCTCGTCCGAAGCAGCCTAACGTTCATGTGTGTTGGAGCGCTCGCTATCGGAATTGCTCCTAAAAGAGAGTTGCTGCCAATAGGTAAGTGCTTCAAAATATGAATGTGTGGATTGACTAATAGGAATTAGGGGTTGCCATTTTCGCAGCGGGATTCGGCAGCAGAGTTTCTGGAATTGCTCTTTTGTCTTATTGGATCACTGAGGACGAGAAATCAACCGTTTACGCGGCTGTCACAGTGTTGGAAGGTGTTGGTCATGCATTTATTGATCCTTCAATGCAACAGATTTTCGCGACATCATTGAGTTTGCCCGAGGTCTGGCTTGCAATTCCATTTTTTGTCGCGGCTGTGAGTAAAGTTTCTAGAGCGCATGAGTATAAAGCTGACTTTGAGAAGGGATGTTATTTAATTGCCATTCTATCAACATCTTGTATTCGTATTGAGAACGAGAGCGACGATAATGAGGACCTGCTCCATCGAGATTGACCAATATTAGACCAAAGACTTTGACAAACTCGGTAATCATTTTCTGATCATAGGATATAATTCAAGTTCCTGGTCTCAGTCTTAAATCTATCGCCACTCGAACACGATCTAGGAAAGAATGAGTTGTGTCTTGTCAGAAGCAGTATCTACTCAAGCCCTGAGTATAGCGATCATGACTTTGAAGTCTGGATTTTACCTAAATAGCCATGCCATCAAAATATCCCTCGGAAACCACCCAGTCGTCTCAATGACCGGCCCTGTGTACGTCTTCCTTCCATTCATGAGCCAGAATACCCCCGCGAACAGTAATATGACCCCGAAAACTAAGATACCGTAATTCATACTCTCAAAATTCGGGTAATTTGCAGTAGGCCACATGGAAAAGAAAGTCCCAAGAATCGAATAAGCAATAGCACCGACTGTGACTGGAACTCCCCATAGCCCCAATCTGAAAGGTCCCCATGGTATCTCGTTCGCCGGAGTTGTGAGACGTTTATGCAACATTACCACCGCAGACAAGATAAAGGATGAGTAGTATGATGCTACTATAAGAGATATGAATGCCCCAAATCCTACTGAAGAACCGATGTTGATGGGTGATAAGAGGAGATTTATCAATACTGTTGCGCCTATGGCGTAAAGTGGGAGATAGGTTCGACCATCGACTCTGGCGAGATATCTTGAACCTGGGAGGCCCTCTTCACGAGCGAAAGCCGAGAGCATACGGGAAGCAGTGGCGAGGGCTCCGACCGAGGTGAAGATTTCTGTTATAATAATTATGTAGGTCTGTAGATGGCAGAAATTATCAGCTTGCTGTTTTCCTTTTTCATTGATACTTATTTCCGACTCGCAGGTCAACCTAGGAGTGCAGTGCCGCCAGCCTTGTAACCTACGGCATATTTAAATATACCAATAAACGGGAATAGGTCTCGCTATTGAGCACCGAGTCGACGTCATTGGGTATATAGAATAAGAGTGGAAGAAGCATAGCAAGACCCATTGCTCCGTTCAAAATATTTGAGACGCCCATGCTAAGAGGAATTACTCTTTACGCGTCGCGAATCTCTTCCGCTATTCGAGTTCATTGGTTTGTCTTACTATAGACGTTGGACTACGAACTCACCGATATGATCCGCGACATCAAGTCCTGTTCGTACCCGGTCAACTCAAGCCATAACCCCAACCAAGCACAAAAAACTCACCAGGAAAACTCTCCGTCGCAGTAACCAACCCCACGAAAAACGCCAACCCATCTGTCTTCTAACCCCCACCATCCATAAACGTCGTAAAAACCTCTCTCCAACTCTTCTTCGGAGCCAAATACACGATCGGAACGAGAACCGAGAAGAAACCCATGATATGGAAGAATAACATCAGTGATTCGATTTGGGGGAGCACCCGACCTAGATAGGTGTTGATGAATAGCGCGAAGGCGAGCACGGCGAAGAAGAGGAGTGTTGCGTGCCACCGTTGCTGGGTGTAGTCTAGTGAGTTGAGGATTAGGAGGCTTTGGAATAGTGAGGTGGAGATGATTGCTATGCCGGCGACGAGGGCTTGCCACTTTGGTTTGAGTTAGGCTTAGTTTGAGGGGTTCGGATGTGAGCATGGGGATGGGGATGGTGGTACGTACTGCGATGACCGTTAACCAGCCTGCTAAATAGGAGAGGAATTTCTTACACCATGGCGGTGCTAGAATCGTGACCCATTTGAAAGGTCCGCCTCCTAGAGGGATCTTTTTTTGTTGTGAGATAATTTCCTGTACTGTAGCCATGGTAGGGGAGGGACTTTACATGGATGCAATTTCTGCCATGACGAGTGTTTGAAGAAATGAGCCGAACCAAATGAACAAGTTAGGGTTCGGGACTTCTTACGAGGTTTCCGCTTCCCCTATACCACGAGATTACTTGTCTTTCCACATCTTAAAAAACATAGACAAGGAAAAGGGTTGGAGGAAAACCAAAGTACTACTCACAGGTGATCATGAGAGTACTAGTAAGTCCAATTATGGGAAGCAATCCAAACCCTCTCTTAATTCAAGTCAATGTTTGGCTAGTTATTTCCATACAAAGTATACAAGGTAACGTAACGTACTCGCAGCTGTTGCTTTTTTCCAAATTTTACGAGGACCGCTTCATCTTTTGCGAATAGTCGAAGGGGCTTGGTTTGAGTTGTCGTTGCGAGATCTGGTTTTTCATCGTCGTCTCTAGAGCGAGTGTTGAGCTTTTTTTAGATGGTGGTTTGTGGTAGTGCGATATTGGAGGTATCCATCGTGTCTGGAATGGTAGGCGGACCTTGAGTCGTGATTCGGTTGTGGTAATGATCGTTGCTTGCTTATATTCTTTTGCATGGGGGAGAGGAGGGTAGCTTCTTAGTGGTGGGGTAATTAGTAGAAAGGGAGTTCTGGATACTGAGAACAAGAAGTTTCTTCGTTATGGTCAGTTCGAGCTGAAAATATTGTGCGACAATACTTGTCTTTCCCAACCTGTCAACAGAAGTACCCCAAGATGGGGTCCGGTGAAAAGCCACATGGGAATCAAAAATACATCAATTTTCCTGATTTTCATTGTTGACCTAAGAATTACTATCAGCGTTGATTTCGCTGTTTATTTCTACTCAAAGAAGTTATGAGCAAGCCATGTGGGTAGTCTCGTCTCACCCAAACGGTATCTTTGAACCCCAAAAGAGCTCTCTTGATCTCCACCTCCCAGTGTAACATTCTAAGAATACCGGCTCCGCAACGGAAGATGAGGCCTGATTGGTAGTTTCTTTTTCTTGTGTGTCGATAGTGTGTAGGCCATACATCAAAAGTAGCATGCGTAACATGGCTCGGATCACAATTCTCAGGGGTGACAGCTGGTGACAGGAATAGACGAGTCGAATGGATTCCTCGAATACAAGACAACTGGAATTAGCTTCTCTGTAAGGATTTTTCAAATAAAAGTTGCAATTCTTCCAATTATGTTATCCATTCAGACCTTCAAAAAAGCCCAGCTTCAGGAACTAACGGTAAGAGAGGCGGGCATTACTCTGTGTACACCTCAGGTGTAAAAAAAGGGTTTTCCTAAAGACCTTATACAACTGAAACAACTATACGATTAGTTTGGAATAATTAATACTTCTCACTCATTATTAACCTAGGTAAAATAGGACAATTGATTTACATTTAGTATAATAACTTTTAATAGCGTGTATAGAGCAATGCTCGCCTCTCTTACGTACCGCCTCCCACCCCTACTACCGGAAGCCAGAAAAAGTACCATCGCCGTATCACACAACAAATTAATACAAAAACATTGTCCAACAACCTATTTTCAGCCCCAGAACCTGCCTATTCTACCTGATAACCACACTTTCCAACATCTCAACTAGATTAACAATGAGGTGGTGAATATCCTCGGTAAATACCCCACATCCCCACCAGCAAACTTCGCAGAATCCACCTCCATCCACGACTCGCAACATGACTCCCTGGATCGACGATTCCCATCAAGGACCACTCATCAATCTCGCATAATGGCTTACGATGGTACCGATGATCCTGTTCACCATAACGAAAGTATGGACGAAATGGAAGATGACGAAGACTTTCCAATTAGACGATGAATTCATGATTTTCGGTACGGTGTGTACTTCCCTCCCATCATGATGTCTTTCATTTCTAAATTGTTATAATAGCTCGTAGGCATTGCGCAAACCATAGTCCTATGGATCGAGGTCGATTCCGGACTTGGAAGACCTCGAGATGAAGTGACAGACACCCAATTCAAGACATTCCAAATGGCAAGCACGCCAGGTTTCGATATCTGACTGAGGTCAATATTCTAACATGAAAGTAATAGGCAGCATATATCTCCCAAATCCTCTATCTCCCCATCATCAGCGTCGCCAAAATGGCCGCCGCCCAAATCCTCATCACCATGACCCGTACCGAAACCAGCAAGGGCGTCGTGAAAGGTCTCTTGGGACTGATAACCAGCTGGTTCGTGGCCTCGGTAATTGCTATATTCTTTCAATGCGGAGTTTCGAAAACGTTAGATACCGCGACGGGGAGGTGTTTCGATACGGTGAGTTTAGCGAGGATAAACGGAATTTGTGGGAGACTCCTGCCAGGACTAATGTGGGATAGTGGGGATTCTGGATCGTAAACGCGGTACTAAATCTACTTACCCAGATCTTGCTCGTTCTCGTGCCGGTTTATCTTCTATGAGATTTGAATATGGTGAAGCGGAGGAAGATAGTAGCTATGCTCTCTTTCTCCCCTGATATAACGTATCTTACCCACCTCCACTTTACCAACCCCCAAACTCGCCCTAATAACAGAAATCCACTCCAAATATAGCATGACAGCCAGCTGCATCTCCTTCATGCGGCCGCTAGTCGAAGCCCTCGCCGTGGGTTTAGTAACAAATGACATGTTCATCCCGGACGGCTCCGAATCCTCGCCTGAGAATTGAAGGGGAGTGATCGGGCGAATCCTTTTGCGTTGCATGAGGTGAGTTGGGTGAATATGACGAGGGATCCGAAGAAAGGGAGTAAATGAGTGGTCTTTTTTGGCTTCTGAGATGCCTGGGTTGGCTAGGTAGTTGGGTGGTTGATGGGGGATTGGCTGTATTTCAATTTTCATGCACTAGATGAATCAACGTGGCCTCGCTTGAAAGATTGCCGATTAGGATCAAACACTTGTCATAAGCGAGCTAAATCCAACTCAGCCTCCCAGGAAATTTTCATTCCGTATCCAGACAGAAGTCACACATATGAAGCCCACTGCAAGAAGCAATTAAAGTTAATTGATAAACTCTTCATATTTCTCTAAAGAGACCTATCTGTGTTGATATCTCCATCCATTCATGTATTTACCTATCCTCTCATCCAAGAGGAGCCCTGATACAAGAATGTAATGTCGTATATCCAAAATCCAAAGCAAAACAGGGGAATACGCAGACTAATTATAAGATCATCAATTATGTGTAAAGAAAGTTTGTCCGATCTTCGGGGTATCTTCCTTTCCCATCCTTCCTGTCATTAAAAACCATCATTCAATCACAATTTCTCGTTGACAATCTCGTCGCTACTTTCTCCTCGGTTCTCAATCTGGTCCTGAGCGGCCGCTGCAGCCTTCTTGTCCGCGCGAACCTTGTCGGCAGCGTAAAGACGCTCGATTTGGTCATCATTGGTGGAAGTGTCGAAGTTGTAAAGAGGCTCCAAGACGGCGTCCTTGTTGAGTAACACCCATCGCTTGAACCACCATGGCAGTGCCTTGGTAAGCTGATAGTGCATATGAGTTCGGGTGGGAACGGCAAAGATGTAATCCAATTCCTCAAGAGTTCTCTGTTTCGTCTCAGGAACCCAGAAGAAGATCATGATGAAGGCGAGGATGTTGGTACCGGCGTAGAAGCAGAAGACACCGGTCGTGCCCATAGATGACAACATGAGAGGGAGGAACATGGTGAGAATGGTGGCCCAGAAGAGGTTAGTTGCAACGGCAAAACCCATTCCAATCTCTCTGTGGGAAAGAGGGAAGACCTCGGCAGAGTAGGTGAAAGGAACTGGTCCTTCTCCAGGAGAATAGAAGATGGCAAAGATGTAGATGAACACGGCGACCAATCCCAAGTGTGCTTTGTTCTCAATTGGAATCAATGCACAGAGACCAGCGGCAAGGAGAGACCATGCCATGTTGGGGAACGTGAAAAGCAGGAGTGCACGACGTCCAAAGGTATCAATGGTCCAGATGGCAGGGAAAGCAAAGACGAAGTTGATTGCTCCGAACCCGAAGGAAGCAAAGAGAGCTTGGAAACTGGTGAATCCGGATTCGATAAAGATGGAAGACGAGTAAAAGGCGATGATGTTGATACCACACATTTGCTGGCCAATCATAACGACGAATGATGCAAGAGTAGCGCGACGAACACGTGGAATGGTGAAAAGTTGAGCGAAGCGACTGAAGTAGTTGCTCTCTCCGATAATCTCTTTCTCAACCTCCAATTGACAGTGGATATAGTACAAGTCACGAGCAGCTAGAACTGGATTGTTTCGCAGTTTCAGTAATCCAGTCATGGCGGGAACATATTTGCCCTTTTCTAGAGGCTGTTAGCTCCGATTTTCACAAAAAAAATTCTGGAGGACTTACTCATATACCATCTAGGAGACTCCGGGCAAAGGTAGATCATGAAAAGAAGTGGAATAGCCGGGATGAATGCAGAACCAAGCTGGTATCTCCACGCATATTTTCCGACATTTACCATTGCAAGATTGGCACCGAATCCCAGGAAAATTCCAAAAGCTGTCCAAAGTTGCCATGACATGACCAGGGCACCTCTAATCGCAGCGGGACTATTTTCGGCGGCAAAAATCGGCACAGTTGATCCTTTCAAACCCATTCCAATACCAAGAAGCAGACGGTTAACCAACAATTGTGGCCAAGTTTGACTAAGTGCTGAACCGAAGATAGGAAGTAAACAGAAGATTCCGGCGATGAAGATGGTACCGCGACGTCCAGTGTAGTAATTGCAAGGGTCCGAGAGCCAACAACCAAGGAGAGCAGAGCCAATATAAGGTCCCGCGTTAACGAGACCAACCAGAAGTGTATCGTGGATTGAGTGTGAACCAATGCCAAAGACCTGTGGGAAAGAGAGATTGGCACCGTTGCTACCTGTCTGATCCCATCCCTGAACTGCTGCTCCAATGGAGCAAGTAGCGACAGTCATGTACAAGGCGTATGGATGCCTCCATTTGTGTAGAACTTCATCTCGAAGGGCATCGATTTCCTCTTGCGACAGAGCGTGTTCGCCTGTGATATCCTCATAATTCGCTGGATCCTGGGCGATCAATGCTCCCTTCTTGAGAAGAGGAAGGTGTTCCTCCAGGTTCTTGCTCTGGGCAAATTCGGTCACGTTCGAAAGGAGCTGATCATAAGGAATTCCAATGAGAGGATTTCGGATCCTAATATTTGATTAGTATAATGATCCCAAAATGTGCACTCTGCAAATATGTCTCGTGATCAGAGCTCGGCATCTATGATTCCCACATAGAAAGCTCAACGAGACTTCTGATGTATCGGCCCACCAGGAATTGAAAGACCAACTTTTGAGAGGTACTTACTTTGCTCCAAGGTTTTCGTTCAGGTCAATATGAGGGGCAGGAGGAGCCTTCTCATTGTCGCTAGGCAAAGGTCAGTATAGAGTAATCTCAGTACCACATCGGGGGTGGATACATACCGATTTATTAGGTCAGCCATGGTTCCGGAAGCGTTTGCGTAATGAAAGCAAACCGCAGTGGATGAAGTGGAAGAAAGGTGTGAGGAGAGTGTGGGAGGAAGGGGGAGAGGATGTTATATATAAATCCTAGGGCTGGTGCAGAGTTTGAGAGCATTCGCACAGGCGAACGACCGAACGGACGATAAACAAAACAACCTTTTGAAAAGACATGGGAAATGATCCACTCTAAGTGAGAGTGGAGCCAGCAAGATACTTCGAAGTACTGTAAATTTACAATCGTGAGCCATGAGACCTCCGACCTCAGACTCGCTTGATTCGCTTTCCCCACAACCCAGGGTATCCAGTGCCCAGTGCCCAGTGCCCAGTCTCCAGTCTCCACCCCGACAAGTCGTCCAGTCTCCAGATCCCCAGAATGTCCAGTACAGGGCAAGGCACCAGCCGAAGGACCCAGTGTAGCCCAAAGCTATACCTAGTTCATAGTAGAGAAAATCACCACTCAGATGGCCAGGAAGGCTCCACTCGTTCACCCATGCCCATGCCCATGCCCATCACCATTCCTCGAGGTCCAGGTTCAAGCTGGAAGTACTTCGTATGCCGTCCTTCGAAGGACTTCCTCCAAACCCTTTTGCGCCAATGTTAAATGTCAGCGGGCTGATCCCGTTATTGTCATTCAGGCAACCGCCTTAGGAGCTCGTCCGGCTCCATTACCGTGCATTTGGGATATCCTCCGTACGGTACGAGTGCACTGGTGGTGGGTTTTGATGAAGTATTCTCCGTTTGGCTCCTCTCTCTCCAAACCTCAAGCAAAAAACGGCCCAGGCCAGCGAAGAGTGGATCCACGTCCCTCCACGTGATAGAGGCTGAAGCGCTGCTATCCCCGCTAACGATTGAACGGCTAGCATCCTCCCCAAGGGGTCCCCACCATTCCCCATGGCGCTAGCTTGGCGGTTGAAAAGTCATCGCTCAACAACGGTGGAGAAAGCGATCGCGACGCCGCATTCGGAGTGACAGCCAATTTGACCGAGTAGAAGAGCGATGGATGTGCCGTAGTAGCCGTACAGAGTAATTGAATGTACGGAGTACCAGTACGAGTACTTTACTCGACGACGGTGTATATACAGTACTCACGTAAGCAACATCATCCGAAGCTGAAGGGACGAGCGATGGAAGTAGAGTTCGGTTTTGCGCAATCGCGTACGAGTAAGAGTACAGTAGGATCGTCAACGAGCAGATTGGAGGGTGAGAAAAGTACCGAGGGTGGAGTACAGGCAAGGCTATCGTATTTCGTACAGTACTCTGTGACGTCCTCGACCTGCACCACAAGGAATTTCTTAGTGACTTTCTCGCTAAAGGTACTGGTGCTGAAGTTTAGCACCCTGTTCCCGGCTACTAACCAATTAAAAGATTCTGTATACATCATTACGAAGATACTCAAGTACTAGTACAGTACTACTTCGTAAAAGTAGTCGTTGAACATCCGTCGCAAGCGAGACTGGCACACTAGTAAACAGATCCATGACAAGAGATCTGTACTATAGCTACAGTAGGGTTGCGGCTGGTGGCGTTCGGTAGTGGCGTTCGGCCGAAGGAACCCCTGAACTGCACCGCTACTGCAGCCGATCTTTCCCCTTTCTTTACAAGAGGCGTTCACGATAGCCGAGTACACTCATCAACAAAGGGCTACAGTACTTAGCGAGCAAGAGCCTTCACCAACCGCCAATTCAGCTCTCCGAGCTACCGTTTATGATGGGCGCTTGACAGGCCTGAGAGTGGTTTGGATACCATTTCACGACAGCTGAGGTGTGTTGAGTACAGTACGACCCGAGGCTGGATATGGGAATCTCGCTCGGTTGCGGCGCATCTGTTAGACGACCTGCACGGAAGTGATAATGTAAGAGCCTTTTTCACCACCAAGATTCGGCAGGACATATGTCGCTGCCTGAAATTCTTAGTTGGAAGTGAAGTAGTTGTAATCGTCAAATGACAAGTCAATTGACTTTGTTTAGCGGTTTGTTTCCAACTTTTCCAAACTCGCCGTCCATGGAAGGTGGGAAGGCAGCACGGTAGCGAGACTGGGCACACTGGGCGCTGCACCGTATCGTACAGTGCTTTTCTTGGTAAAGGGTTTTACCTCCGTACTCCGCACTTCAACTTGCAAGCCTTCCGCTGGGCCACGGGTTTCTCTGGTCTACGGGTCTCTCTCCAATAAAAAATAAACTCTATATTATAGAATCCCCGCCCCGAGCTTGCCCCGGGCCACCCCGGACCCAGACCGTCCCAAGACCCCAACCCCCCGCCATTTCTCCAGAACATCTTGTTTCCAAGGCAAGTCATCTCCATCCTCCGCTCTATCATCGTGCCGAGTCAGAAGACAGAAAAAGTTTATAGAGCTTAAAGTGGTTGCCTAAAACAAGTGGTTCTCCTGCCATCACTTGCTCGTCAGTGCAAACCTTCAAGTCCAGCATGTCGTCGCTCTGCAAGCAAACTCCCTCACCGTTCTTCGCTATACGGGACTCAAGGGAGAGCTCTACACACTCGTTTCTGCTTTTATCGGAGCATCATGTGCTTGGCACTACATCCGATGGCCGTCTGCCCGTCCTCTCCCTCTCCACTCATTGTCCTTCCTCCACCATGGCTGTCGAGGCATTCTTCTGCTATGGTAATGGCCGTGCAAAATGGACCGTGCCGGGCGAACTGGTAGGCAAGACTTTACTTTTTCGGTCGGCAAGAATGCAGCATTCGATTGACTTTTCTTTTCCGAAGATTTAAATCAACATACAACTATCTTCACCGAGGTCTGTTCTCAAAATGAGCAAGGTAGACAACCTGCCTATTCTCCATACAACAACATTTCTTTCAAGCCATTTCTAGGGGAAGAGCCGCTGGGATACATCTGCACTTGTGTTGTTTATACACCGCCATCAAGGCAGCTCCTTGTTCATTCAGGTCACGATACTTTTTTACACAACACATACCCGTTGAGATCTTCAGAACGAATCTAGAAAGTCTGGGGTAATGGTACCCAAAGAAATCCGAGTTCTGCGAACGGGGTTATTCGAGATCAACAATCTACCAGCATCGCAAGCGTACCCAGGACACTTACGTGCACGAGAATGGAACTCTAATAACGACAAAACATCGAATACCATCCCCGTAATTCTTTTCGGCGCCGCAATTTCACCAATATCAACAAACAGTCACGTTCTGACTTTCCCAAACAAAACATCAGAAGGAAACTTCCCGTCACTCCGATTCGTCCAATTGACTCCCTTCACTTTTGACTTGAGACGGCGAGTTTTTGTCATGGGTCATGCTAATAATGTGTTCAGCGCTTGTACCCTGCTGAGAGCTATGTCTCGGACGTTTTGGGTCCAAAATTTGCCTTGCGACGACGAAGAAGGTCAGCGTCGGGTTTAGGGACTCGGAAAATTTCATGACGACAAGCTGGTGAAGCTATCGTGAGCTGAAAGGCTAGAGATACGGGTTGGTGACTTCATTCATCACTTTACCTCTTTCAGCAGGGCGGAAAGATAAACAACCATTTCACAACCCTTTTCGGTTTTTCTTTCACCCTTTCTCTCATTGCGAGTGTGGCTCTTGAAATCTTCTCCTCAATCCTTGACTCTGAAGCTCACTTCTTATCAATCAATTGCGCTTAAAATACTTCTTCTATGGTTTTGCACCTTTGGAGCTACATATTATTTATTTCTTCGTTGTCTATACACATAATAATGTGTACCCAGTGGCGAGCTCTCAATTTTTCAATTTTCAATTCGTCTAAATGTTTCGTCCTGGCTCATCCTCTTGCGCCTAGGCAAAACTTACATAAGACGAGTTGCGAATTCCCATGGCACTGTGAGGATCTTAACTAAAATTACGCCTCCGTTTTATAGAAGTCGCGATGGCTATAGAAGATTATCGGGTCGGAGCCAAAGGATCATATATTCTTTCAAACTTAAGATCTCGCACAGATGGCTTTTGAGGAGAGGAGACCCGGTGACAGATCTACAGCCTATGATTTCAAAGCTACTTACTTTTTTTGCTTTTCTGTATTTGCCTTGCTGATTATTGAACCCTTCTGGAATAACGGGAGAGTGTTGAGGGCGTTCACGGCAAACTATCAAGCTCAGGATAGACTTTTGTGGTGGGATTCTTCGGGAGAACACGGTTATACCACCACAAACATATTTGACGCTGTAGAGGTGATATCTATCCGGGAAGCAAGACTTCAAAAGTAAAACTTCTTTTCTCTTCATGCTTCGGATTTTTCGGGAGGCTTAACCCCCGCCCAACCCCCACACTCAGCAGGCAGAAAGACTTACGCATATGATTTTTCTCGGAAATCGCTCTCACATATTTAACCTTAGGTATTTCCCAACATTTTAGAGATGGCAAGAATTCGGTGTAATCAGTAATACCTGAACCCAACAGGAAATAATTAGCATTCCGAAGCCTGAGTGTAAGTGATTAGTTGCAAATATGCCTATACTTTCGAGATCTGTGCTGATTTCTAAGAGGATTTCCTCTCGCATCTGGTTGAATTTTTGCAATATCATTTCAAAGCGTCGTGTCATTGCAGACCACGAAGTTTCCAACTCCTCAAGACTTATGATCTCGCTCTCGTTATCCACTGGAAACCACGCCGGCCATTCGAATTCTGGCCGCCTGGAGACGACTTCCTCCTCGCTTTCGCTATCTGGCCAGTCTGGTTCCGGCGGCTTGAAAGCTTGTTCTGGTGATTTCGTAGGTGACCCAAAGGTCACATCTGTATATCGACAGGCATCCGCTTCTTCAACCACGATGAGCAATTCCTTGATCCCATTCAGCTGTCTCAATAGAGAGGACGCTTTTTACTCTGTAAACCAGGGATCTTCTTGTGATGGGGTCAAATCGAAACACGGATCTATGTCTCGCAAATAACGTGAACTTCGTGAAGGGAGCACAAGAGCGTTGAAGATGAGGTTTCCATGGCATGTTGATGTTGTCCCATCACAATGATTGAAAATAATCTTGTTGCATTTTGAGCAGAAGACCTCAATTTTAAAATTTAGAGTTGAAACAGGAGTTTGTAAGGCAGAGGTTCAAATGGCTGACATCCAACACGCTTTTGGTAGGCCATGCGTTTATCAACACGTTTTTCTTTGAACCCACCCACGCGTTCTTCATCGTAGTGGAGGAGCATTCCAGTGTCTATTCGCCACATGTATGCATACCCCTTTTTTGCCATAAGGGCGATTTCTCGTGCTTCTCTGTTGGCTTGCGCGATGAGATCTGGGAACATATCTGGGGCAGCCCCGGGTGTCCAGCGGGAAGCGTGGTAGTTCCTATGCTATTTCGCTTCCGTTTAGTCTTCCTGGTGTTTTCACCTTTTCAGGGGAATAGATGAGTGGCTACTTACGATATAAGTATAAACCGGCCGTATATCGATGGCGAGTTCCCAAATTAGGCATCTTAGTTCTGGAGAAAGTTCTCCGAATTTATGGAGGCTGCATGTCTTCATTTTGATGCTGCATTTCTGATGTCATCTAAGGCAGAGAATTGCAAGCATACACTTGTCACCATATGAAAAGATCATCGACACAAGTAATCTGTGTTACAAATATTATCAAAGGTTGGTGTCATGAAAGGAAGTGGTTGTATCTGATACTGGTATTGTGTTTTGAATCCCTCGGATATGGCCCTCGGCCCCTTTTCGGACCCCTCCATGGATGGCCAAAGCTCCACCCCTCCTCTACAGTAGCACATCATCGACTTCCCAGAATACTCCCAAACAGCCACAAGTACTCCATACATCCCACTCTTCTAATTCTGCCTCCTTCTACTTCAATCGCGTCACATCCACATGCCCTTTCTGCGTACCACAAAACAACTCTTCCGTACATTTCAGTCCCTCAATTCTCTTCCCAAATCAACCCCTCCAAGACTACCCACCATCCTTTTCAGAACCATGGCCTCCTCAGCAATGAGCAAAAGACTCACCGGAAAAACGATTCTCATTACTGGAGCTTCTTCAGGAATTGGTCGTAGTACCGCTCTCGAATTTGCACGCACTGCCCCGTCCGATTTACGATTAATCCTAACCGCGCGACGAGATGATAAGCTGAAGGAGATTGCGGAGGAGATAAAGAAGGAGGTGGGAGATGGTGTTCAAGTTTTACCTTTCAAATTGGATGTTAGTAATGCGGAAGAAATTAGAGGATTTGTGAAAGCATTGCCAGAAGAATGGAGGGCAATTGATGTATTGGTTAATAATGCGTTTGTACTCCTTCCTTCTTCTACAATCCCGACAACAAAGGCTAAGTGAGTATCATACAGAGGTCTTGTCAAAGGCGTAGCGAAAGCTCCTGAAATTGCTGAAGAAGATATCGCTGTTATGTTTGCAACCAATGTTACCGGCCTTATCAACATGACACAAGCTATCCTCCCCATCTTCAAATCTCGACCCGACGGAGGAAAAGGAGATATCATCAACATCGGGAGTATTGCGGGTAGGGAGCCATATGTTGGTGGCAGTATTTACTGTGCTACGAAAGCTGCAATTAGAAGTTTTACGGATTCTTTGAGAAGGGAATTGATTGCTACACGAATTAGAATTATTGAGATCGACCCCGGTCAGGTTGAAACTGTGAGTCAAATACGTGTCCAGGCTCAGAATAACGCAACGGGTCGTAGAGTTGGATGATGAGACGGGGAGTTGCTGACATTTTCATCAGGAGTTTTCGGTCGTTAGATTTTACGGAGATAAGAGCAAGGCGGATGCGGTTTACGCGTATGTTTTCTTCCCTGATCCAGTACTCATCAATCATCGTTCCCGAGCTCACAAAGTTACAGTGGCTGCGAGCCCCTGACTCCAGACGATATCGCCGAGGTGATCGTTTTTACGGCTGGCAGAAGGGAAAATGTCGTCGTAGCGGACACTTTGATTTTCCCCAACCACCAGGTAAGATGACATTCTACAGTGCCATTTATGCAGTGTTTGTGTGTTTGATATTAATGATCTGAAGGCCGCTGCTACCATTCTACATAAGAAATCATAGACTTACTGATGCCTAGGCTGGTGCTGGAGGCGCGTCGTATAAAAAAAGCCAGCATGAGGTTTGATCTGAGGGCCCTGGCGGTGCTCTTTCTTTTAGTACTAGAATGTAGATAATTACATCTTAGTTTCACACGGAGACTTGGAATTAATATCGGGCGAATGTTCCAGGAATGCCTCTCAGCGTAGTTACCAGATAACATGTAGGAATAAATTTCATTTGTATCCACCGCGCCATCCAATAATCCTAAAGAACGCCCAGAAACTCCTTAGCTGTACATGTAACCAGCTATTCATTCCAATTCCATCTTCCCACTCCCCTTCATGTTCCTCCTTGTGGCTTTCATTCTCTCTTCTGGCAAATCCAGCAACTGGAAGGCGACCGGCGCTTTCTATTTTTTGTTGACGCACATTACGCGTCCTACGATTGCACTGCCTTTAGTTGAACAGAAGGAACCCCCGTCTTTGTCTTTGGAGATTACAGTGGCGGTTTTCTCCTTTTCCCAGAGCTCGAAAATCTCTACTTCATTGCAGCAAAAGGTTTCTTGGTCATTTGCTTCGCAGCCTCCATCTCCTTCGATCTTGTCACTGCAGAACACCTTCGTAGGCCCATTCAGTGCCTGGGCCGTCACAGACGACGCGATGCTTAAGACGAGAATGAAGTTGAGTCTCATTATGAGGGGTGGATAGGGGAGGTGAGGATGAAGTGGTATTGAGGCGGTAATGATGATGTAGTATGCGTTGTTGCTGTTAGAGTGAGGTTCAATGGTGTGTGAAGATGATCGGTGTGAGGATTTGAGGTCAATTACTTCTCTGATGGCTGGACTAGTTAGATATCTTATATAGGAAGATATCTGGACTGAAAAACAAGAATACCTATCTAAATCTGATACGATAAAGGGATGAAGAAGTGATCCAAGACTTGATATCCAGGAGATCCGAATCATTGTCGCAAATGCTACTTCTATAAAAAGGCTTCAGAATACGGAAGTAGGTCTTTGTTGCAAGATAGGCCGCCAATTCTTGAAATATTCCGTACTGTTACAAAAAGGCTTAGCGAGGTCCATAATACTTCGTATCTTGGTACTTTCTATAATAGTATTTTACGTGCTTCCTACACGACACACCCCTGTAAGCGACGCGGCCTTGTATAATTACCGCCTACTATTACTGTACTAAGTACAAGATATCAAATCCATTTTTCTACAATGTCCTCGTAGCAAGACCTTCGAATCTACTATATAAATATTTGAATAACTGCCCCTGTTATCTCGCTAAGTGTCAAGAACATATAAAGTAGGTACCTATCTCCTGTGCTGTTGGGAGGGATCTTTCAGACCAGGATTCAGTACTTTCAAACTCTGTACTCAAGCCACAGCGCAGAGGAAGGACGCACCGATTATTACCCCCCAAAAGTTACGAAACAGTCGTGCACGTCCTTACAGTACCCACTTGAGAACCCCTCCATGTAAATATCTGAAACTTCTTGTACGGAGTACCATACGGTAAGTCGAGAGGACACAGAGGTGCCGGCACAACCATTGACTATCAGAGTAAAGAAGGGGAGATTCCTCGTCTCTGTAACCAATGGTCAGCGAAGGCTATGTACACTGCCTAATTTTGACCGACTTCTTCACGAACCCTTCTTGAGAGCATGTTTTCCGATGATCTTCTGCTACAAATCCCATACTCGTAAACCCCACTTTTCGCTGTCGATTCGATCAGAACTCACTTGGCAAGACGATCCACTTCGTCTTGCCATGCGAGCCATGTTAAAATCCAGTATCGCCAAGTTATGTGGCATCGATCAGGGCACTTTGGGATTTCGTTAGAAGACTGCCCAGGTGTTTCCCGTGAGTGTGTAACCGTACAGAATACTCTCCTGTTTGAGGTCCAGGGACGAGAATTTAGGAAAAATAATCGTACGCATTTCAGCCACTTACAACCAGAAAATGTTATCGGAATAGGCCCACAATGGATTTACAGTCATTTTTAGATATCTGTAACTTCATATACGTATTAGGATGAATTTCAAAACAGGAAAAAGTCTTGCTGTGCCTGTAGTAGGTTCGGAATAACCCCTTGTTTGTATGCGAGGTTTATTAGTATAAGAAGGAGAATTTCCCAATTAGTCAAGCACCAAAAGAACTGACTCATTTTTATTCTGTCAACATTCCACTGTAAAATAGAAGCAGAGCGATCTATTCACATACCATGCAACCGAATAATCCAACTATCACCAAACCAAACCATCTCCAAAAACAAACATGAAAGAAATCCTTTAACGTAGTCCACAAGCGAGTTGGATTCCCAAGCGAAATGGAATCCCAAGCGAAATGGATTTTTTTTTCTTTGGCATTTTATAAATTCTTAAATATCTCACGACACAATTAATTAAATTAATTACAGTATTCAGAATCGGAATCCTCACATATTTCTTCTCCTTTTTGACAAGTTCGTATGTTATGGCCATGTTTCCCACATAGTCCACAGCGCCGGCGAGGTACTAGACTCGGGCTCGTACAATTACTATTTTCTACTAAAACCACTTGTTCTTGCGAATCAACATTACTAAGGACCCCTAAATCTTGCGCATCTTGGAGAGTAAGTGATCCTCCTTCCTGTAATCGGCGCTTTTTCGTACGACGACGCCGACTAAGTTGATCATTTGCTGTACGAAGTGTAGCATTCTCAGCTCGTAATAAAGCTACCTCAGTGATTGCACGCTGTGCACCCTTTGCAAGCTGGTCTAGGCCATATAGAATCTGGGTCGGAGAACTATCTTGGTGTCGTACGACCTTGTTTTGTATATATGACGTCTGGGAATATGCCTCTGTTATGTTATTTGGGGTCTTTGGTTCCCAAATAGCTAGGAGGCTTGTTGAGGTAGATGGACGTGACGGAGTCCTTGGACGTATATCAAGCTGTGAAATCACAGAATCTGGGTCGTACGGCACTAAGCCAGATCCTCGAAATCCTCCTCGAATGTTTGATTCAGTCATTGTCGTACGAAAGGCAGTATAGAATGTTGATAAGAAATCCTCCTTAGAAACATATGTAATGTGGAGTCGCATTAATTTCTCAAGTTCAGCACCGTACGACCTTTTTAACGCTCGAAAACATCCTACATCGAGTGGCTGGAGTCTATGAGAGGAATGAGCTGGCATGCAAAGAGTAATAATGTTATTACTCTTACAAAAAAGCTCAAAATCGACTGAGTGGTGGCTTTCATGGCCATCAAGCACAAGCAGCCGGTGAATGCCCTTCGTACGAAGCTTTGTATGCCGATCGAAATGAAAAATCCAATCTAGGGCTCGCTCATTTGTTGTCCAGCCATTTGTAGTTACAGCAATTACCCAGTCGCGTGGTAATTGGCTGTTTTCGTACCAGGAGGAGAGGTGGTTCTTCCCCGCCAAAATGATATATGGAGGCACTACAAAGCCGTACGACCCAACACCTTGAATTACTGTTGCCCATTCCCGGTTTCCTTGCTGTACTGTACGAGGCCGAGAAAGCCTTTCGGTACTTGTAACAACCATTTCTGATGTAATTTGGCCCATACAAAACCCAGTCTCGTCAAAGTTATAAATATCCTCCTCCTGAATCCCATATTTGTCAATTATATTTCGTACGAGGCGAAACCACGCGTTATACGCGTCTGAATTTTCGCATTGGACTCTTTGATAATCAATCCTTCGATTAAAACGCGTCTTAAGTTCAGGTTGTCGTCGTACGAAGTTCGAAGTCCAGTTCTTGCCAACGCGTCCTGCACCCCGCTCCGAGAGGATACGATTCGCCATATCTTCAACACAACGTACTCGTGGGGGAAATGATCGAGAATCTAGGTCGAGAATATCTCGTACGATAACCATTTCTTCAATCTCTGTAAGTTTTCGAGATTTAGCGATAGAATCTTGTCGTGATAATATTCCATGAGTTCGATTAAGCAATGTCGTATAAGGTACTTTATAGATCCGCGCAACCTTCTTAACTTTTAAATGTGGGTTCGTACGAAGCGTATTTAACGCAAGAATCATATCAGACTCTGTCCAATGCTTAACCATTTTGTTTCTTAAGAAAAAACGCGCTCTGAATAAGTTTGTGGAGTGCCGAGAAAAAAATCCATTTCGCTTGGGAATCCAACTCGCTTGTGGACTACGTTACCATCTTCCTCGCTCTGACCCTTGCGTTCCTCAGTGTCGCCTCACCGCCCCTGCCGCCAGATGATGGTTGCCGTGTATTTCAATGCAATAAAGAATGCGGGGGTGCTATTGTTAGTCCACCGCTCTCACCCATTCACTCTATTTAGCTTGTTAGCGCAAGCTGTCAACAATAGATTTCCTTAGTAAACGTTTACTAATTCTATGACCCTAGAATGTAAAAGATTTCTCATGCGCCAATGGCTATAAGTGCGAGTGTGAACCTAAAGAGTAGTTTGAAGGGGCTTTTTACATAGATAACTTTGGATACAGAAATCATTTGATGGGGAAATGGAAGGAAAGAGGAACGGCTAGATTGGCTCTTTTAAATGAATTATGAATACAATACCACTTTAGGGCCTGTTTCCCCAGAGTCTCATGCCATAATCTCTGTATTGTCAAACCTACTTCTCGTACTCGATCCGATCGATATCAAATATTACTCTGTATTACGCATATTTGAGTTCCGTATATTTACTTCGTCTTGCTATGTCAAAAGTTATTCCATAATGAATAAGTTACATATTTCATCCCACTGGAATATATCCAGATCACCTTCGAAATGAGATTTACTTATTTTGCCCCTACAAAGTAGAATTAAATGAAACGATGGAAGTTCATAGGCTCTTTTGACTAATCAGAGAGTAGGATTTAACGGTAGTGAATGTTAATTGATCGTATGGTACAACTGTCCCGTACTGTGAGAGGCCAGACCTCGAATAGCTCAAAGGTGTGGTTTCGAATATTCAATTAAGAAGTGCGTGAAGACTACATACATGCAATCTCTTCCTCTATATATAGAGAGAGGAAGAGTTTCTGGAGTCTTCCAAGAAACTGTTTGACAAATACGTGACGTCAAAAGAATAGAGTAGAAAAGTGTAGAAAAGGAGAAACCAATTTAGCAGTGGAGCAATGGCCAATGCTGAGCGGGGACTTTGGTCAGTGCTTAGCGAGGGCATGGCCCGAGCCTCCATCATGGGTTCCAACCCTCACACGTACTCGATCTTACTCAATCATAGCCTCGATCTCTTCTTACTCAATTACTTTAGGACCTCTTTAGAGATAATACCCCAATCTCGAAGGTATATAATTTACCTAAGCTACTCGCTACTTACGCTACACCTATCCTTTGTAATAATACAACATCTACTAGAGGAGATACGTGAAGACGATGCCGACATAGAGATACTCATAAGGGCGACATTGAAATAGTTTAGTTGTACTATTAATGAGAATCTATAATCTTTGATGCTATCGAAAAAGGGTTTCCTATTGGTTAGTCGGACCGGGTATACCCTTTTCCGAGTCAGGTGATTCCATGGAATACGGGCCTCCAGCTGGAATAGAATGGAATTCCAGATGCTGAGCGATGATATTATTACTGTAAAGAATATTCCTACTTAATGAAGCGACAAAACGGCTTAATTATTTGTCCTATCACCATGCAACCACGAAAGAGTACCGGAGCCGCCGACGCTTCTGCCAAAGAGGCAGCAAAATCTGCTGCGTCAGTGGCGGTAATGTGTCGATCCATCGTGGAAGTTTGTGCGATTCGTTACATCTGATCAAGAGAGGTCGCGGTGTCGAACGGATTCCCCCGTTAGAGCGGCTGCGTCAGATTTTAGATCATCTAGTTGCTACAAACCCCCTGCGGAGTTTCCGGGAAAAAACATTGGACCAAGCTTTAGAGACCCAGCTCGGATATATAAGAGTTTAATTCACTTGTAATGTAGTCTCTTGATTGGAGGTTCCACTAAATAACGGGTCCTAGAGGGCTGAGGGTGTTAGTACAACAGTCCCGCTCTTCATCTGAAAACTTTTGTTGTTGTTTTCGGAAACAACGCGCCCGGGATTGTAGGTAGAGTTTATTTTCTTAGAGTGCCTGCGTCAGATTTTAGATCATCTAGCAGCTGTACTAGTACTGTAGAGTTTATCTATTTTTATTTGACTCTATTTGTGGCCTTGAGTTATTATCCCTTAGGTTCAGATAGAGTGACAGAAAAAAAGTGCACTCAAAGTGGAGTAGAAGTACCCACTTTTAGAACATCTTCCCGTAAAATAAACTTATTTGGCCAACCAGCTCCAGGCAACGTCTCCAAGCATTTGAGCCTCAATTCAACCAGTTCAACTTATGCCCACTTTGCGTGCACGTTCTTTTGTCACTCGATACTCTTGAAGAATTCGAAGGAGTGGAGAGAGAGAGAGAGAAAATTCTGATTGCATCTCATTCTAGCTAAGGATTATTCGCCATGTCTAAAATATCCGAGGGAGTTCAAATGGCTAGGTTACGAAGCCCAATTCAGGCGGGATTTGCGAACGTTTGACAGATTGCATCATCTTGCATTATGTCTTCCAATGCTTTATTCCTTTTCTTGGAATTCCTTGCTCACTTTAGCCTACTCAAGTATTGACCAAAGATACAGGGACGTTTTTTCTCACGTAAGCGTAGAGGATGTGGCGCCCGCTTAACCCATACAGTACAGCAGGCGCAGCAGAGAAAGCCCAACCTTCATAACGTAAAATATCGGCGTCGAAAATTTCGATACGCGTATATGCAGATCCACAAATCATATTCATGGTGGTATAGAGCGCATATATAAAGTCATGGTGCTGGAACCATGTTATATCGTCTCGAACCCATCCGTTACTTTACAAACCTCTCCGTCACTAGCATTATCTTTTCAAAATGATATCTGCTACCTTTCTTCCGTTATGTCTTCTGGCTATTGCGAGCTCTGCGTTATGCGCGCCTACAGAACTCCAATGGGGTCCATGTAACACAACGGAAGTTAGCGGTCCTCTGCCTGTTGAGTGCAGTGCTTTGGATGTCCCTCTCGATTACACGCAACCCAATTCCACAAAGAAGTTGAATCTGGGGTTACTCAGGGTTCCTTCTCTCATGAAACCATCGCGAGGTAGTATTCTTGTCAACTTTGGAGGACCAGGCCTTACGGCTCGGTCAAGTTTGGCATCTTTAGGATTAACACTTCAAGCGTGAGTAATTTCTTGCCCTGAAACTATTGGTAGACAATCTTGAAGAAAACGGTACTGACTTTTGTAGACTCACAGGTGGTTATTATGACGTTCTTGCGTTCGATCCACGGTATGAATTTACCTCCGTATCCCTGTCTCCCAAACCTCACGCAACATGCAATAGACTTGGTCGTTGTTCTTCATACGCCCTCGGAAGATGTTGTATTGGAAGTCTCGATATGCGCAAAAATAATTGTTTATCTGGGAAACCTGACTGACAACATTTAGAGGAACGGGCAAGACCTTGCCTTTCTCTTGTGTATCGAGTGAACATGAGGCCGTCTCCCTCTTCAGCGACTTGGCTCTCGGGAATTCGTCCGACACAGCTTTAGGAAGACTTTGGGCCAAGGGTGAAATATTCTCCAACACTTGCTTACAGAAAGCAAACGAGACCGGATCACTCATTGGTACAGCTTTTGTTGCCAGAGATTTGATCAGTGTTGTCGATGCACTTGGCGAGGATGGACTATTGAGATACTGGGGATTCTCGTATGGTACTACTTTAGGAGCTACTGTCGCTGCAATGTTCCCCGAAAGAATTGATAGGATCATTTTGGATGGGGTGCAAAACCCACATCAATATTACCATGCTGCTGCGTGAGTTTCCGTTTGGGGGTTGAAATTGATGACCGAGGAAGGACTCCTATACTAATTGCTTTGAGTAGAGATTTTGAAGAGTGGACTATGTCTGATGACTCGTTCTCTGGAATATTTACCTCTTGCATCGAAGATCCTCAAAATTGTGTGTTGGCACAGGGTAACACAACAGCCGCGCAATTGGAACAAGCGGCCTGGGAGCTCATCGAAAGAATCAAACAACGTCCCATGGCCCTCGGAACTGCCCTTCTAGATTACACTGCAATCAAGAACATCATACAAGCGGATCTATACAATACCGGAACTTGGCCGGAGCTGGCTTCAATGATGGCCCTCTTACTTACTAAAAACCTTGCAGTTCTCACCGCCCTCCTTGCGAGCTCTCCTCCCGTGAGCTCGTCAGATTCAGCGATAGATGAAGCCATGGCAGCTTTCGGAATCCATTGCGGCGATAGAACATTACGAGAATCATCATATGATAAATTTCTCCCGCAGATGAAGAAATTGATAGGAACGAGCAGGATCTTGGGAGATATCACACCAGCAATCAGCATGACATGTGCGCAATGGAAAATGCATGCTAAAGAAATTTACCAAGGCGATTTCCATGTTAAGACCAAGAATCCGATTCTCATTCTTGGAAACAAACATGATGCCTTCACGCCACTTGATTCTGCTTACAACCTGAGTTCGACCTTTGAAGGTAGTGTTGTAACGGAGATTGATGGGTATGGTGTGAGTGAACCTCTCAATTGCACGTAGTGTGATTCGTGCTGATATATTACTTTATTAGCATACTTCTCTAGCTCTTCCTTCCGCTTGTACTATAGGCGTTACTTCGACTTATTGGTTGAATGGTACTTTGCCTGCACAAGGGAAGGTCTGCAAAGTCGACAAAACACCCTATTCCAATGTTACCTGGACAGATGTTATTGTCAAGGTCCTTGGCAACAACACTTTTCTTCCAGAACTGGGTTCCACCGAATCCGCTCCAGTTGTTGGTCGTAGGTGGTTGATATAAGATGAGAATTCTGTCGGTGGTGATGGGGCTTGGGTCTAATGTTTTAATTCTCTCATGTATTAGTAGTATGTACCTCGGAAGAAGTCCGACAAGTTCCAAGCTTGCTCAGTCCAGAAACCCGGCCTTTTTCTCAGCTGCTCCTCGGTAAATAAATTCAGCGGGTGAACAAAAACATACCTCCCCCCCAAAAATGTGTTAGGGTTGCCCAGTGCAGGTCTAATCAACTACCCCATCCCCTCCCGCACCCCTTACTCCGCGACGCGCGTTATGAACCACAAGAACTGTATGCACAGCAGTTATCACAGATACCCCCTATACAATTGATGACACGCAACATGTCCCTTCCGTCATTTGATCTGATCATGAAATTAGTGAATCTCACTCAACTCCCAGCCCGAAGCTCCCCCGGCAACCCCCTCGCTTAAACCCACAAGGCCTACAAATGTCGGAAATTATTAATAAATCCAAATAAGAGGATTTGCTCTCACGACAACCTGATACTATGCGCCTGGTCAGGTCAGGTAGAGTGTGTAATGTGAAAGACCATATGCGACAAGCACACGGAGCTGTTCCCTAAAAAATCCACCCAAGGATTTCTCTGGATCGAACCCATAGCAACAAATTCCATCGCGACAACTAGAGTTTTGCTGGTTTGATTTTTGGTATTTTTTTTGGCAATTTGTTTTGCATGGCCACTCATGGAGTTTGTGATGCAGTGAGAGTATGGATCAGTGAATATCGAGGTGAATAGGGTCTGGTATTTTTTGTTAGTCACAATTGATTTTCTCCTTCAGTCCAGAGGGAACACGTAGGGGAGTTGGTACTGCTTCAAGTACGCATATATTCATGCGGAACTTTCGTCTAGAATATCAGAGAAAGGTCCGTATGTACCTTGAAAACTGGAAGCAACCATTGAACGAAAATTGTGACCAGGATTGTTTGCTAACGCTGAAGCATGAGACTTCCTGTTCATCAATGTTTGTTGTGGTTCTATGGTACCTTTGGGGAGAACTCTGTGACTAGTTCTCAGTTGATTCAAACGATCATGTTCTGACTGACTCCACTATTCAGGAATGCGTCAGAAAGTTGATACTTCTCAGGACAATCTGTGAATCACCACAACTTGAGAACTTGACAACATCAAGCTATTTCTACATCCATCATCATCGCCTTGCTGCGCACAACCTACAGAAACAATTTCGACTGCGATAACTTCGATAGCCTCTAAAAAGACAATCCAAGTCGAAAATAATTACAGGAAGCAAGTTTCAAAAGCCGAAATGGAGGCACGGAAGACTAGTCGACAGCCTCAACGCCCTCAGCCAAGTCCAGTCCAAATAGAGCCAGGCAAAGCCAGCAGATCTTTACCCTTCATACACAAATTTCTACCACCCATACCCCCGAAACATCCAGGACGACTATCCCAAAATCAAGAACGACGAATCTTACCACTGGCTGGACCAGCTCACACATACCATCAAAATCCTCCAAAATCCAAGGCGACAGAAGACAGCGCACTTCCACAGCCTCCAACATCACCAGTACCCTACCTCTCACCCCAAGCGTATCGACTCTTCAACTTCTCCCCTCTCTTACCGAAGAACGAAAAAGTGATACACCGACAACCACTAGGTCTCAACATCCAAAAGAAATACCTAGATCAAACGCCAAATACCTTTTTCATTTTGGAATTACAAGATACGATTAACCGCACCTACGGTACGGATTTCGACATGTCTCAGATTACATCTTTGGCGAGAGATGCTGAAGAGAGGGGAAACCTGGTGGAGGTGAGGCCATGGGTTTACCAATTTGATGTTGCGGATCAGCAGGAGAAGATGGCGAGGTATATTAAGGAGAGGGCGCAGAGGAAGAGGCATGAAGGCGCGGATGGCAAGGCTGTTTGGTTTTAAGACGGGAAGATATGCGGGATGTTTTGTTAGTTACTTATATCTGGAGTGGTGTGAATGAAGCTTGAGTCAAAGAATGTTAATTGTGGCTTTCTATCTTCTTTATTTCTCATGTGAATCTGAGACAATCTCCCAAAACAATGAGCCTTCCGTAGCCAAGTGTGAAAAGCAAAAGGTCGGGGATGGGAGAGCGGGTGAAAAGCGGTCTACTCAAACAAGAAGGAGTATTCCCAAAACTCGCCAAAATAAAAGAGATGCCAAGAAGCTGAAAAGGAGGCAATATATGCGGTGGGCTTATGTCACACAAGGGCCGTAACATCTTGTGAGACGCCACCAATTCGTATACCCGTCTCTCACAAGCATCTCAGACTTGATCTGAAATATCTCTGCATTAAATCCTTTCATTCTCTTAAAATCCATTCTTTTCAAAATTCGCTGGCGCTGGGCTTGACTTTCGCGCTTTTCAAGAACTGCTTCCCTTTCTCAAAGATGGATGTTCCCAACCCACCAACATACAACACCCTTGTTGTCCGTCCTCATATTGCTGTTACAGCAGAGGATCGCGATGCAGTATTAAAGTCAGTCGAGTACAATCTTTTTGCGTTTCCAGCGGCTTTGGTAACTAGCGACTTCTTGTCAGACTCGGGTACTTCAGCGATGACGGATATTCAATGGGCAGCGAGTAAGTTTTGTCTTCTTAAGATTTCCTTAAATGACAGTAAAATCCCATGTGATGGCTCGCTAGTGAGAAAGAACTTGGGAATTGAAGATTACGGTACGCGAACGAGAGTGTTTTATTCTACCGGGTATTGTATATTCTCAAACAAGGAGGCAATTAGGGACTAAGTTTCTTTAACAAATTTGAATTAGCCGTGAACTACATACTAATAGAAACTTTGCAGTGCTTCGAGGCGATGAAAGCTATGGACGCAATTGGGGATACTATTGTCTCCTGGATGCTTTCCGTGACATCTTCGAACGAGGGAATGCTCGAGAAAACATCTACCGAGATGTTTTAGCAGGCATTGCTGATTCCCGTTTCTTTTTGAACGAGCTTCTAAAAGAGCACACTGGGGGTTTCGTAAACGGGGGTCCGGCTCAACTCATGCGTCCAAACTTCTTTCTCGTGCCTCAAGGAAGATGTGCAGAGGCGCTCCTTTTTTCAACATTAGGGGCATCCATGGACCGAAAACGTGAACCAAGACAACAAATACAACATGTCATTATTAGCAACGGCTTTTTTGATACCACCAGTGCCAACATTTCTATCGCTGGATTTGAGACCAAGGCATTCCCTCAACTGGGGTTAATCGATCCATATCCGATTAATTTAGTTGGAATCGAAAATCCATTCAAGGGAAACCTAGATTCGGCAAGTACCGCAGAATATCTTGAAAACAACAGTCACCGAATAACCATGATTCTCCTGACAATAACCAACAACTGGGCCGCCGGCCAACCCGTGTCCATGGCAAACATAAAAGCGACATACGATTTAGCGAGAAAACACGAGATCCCCCTTTTCTTCGACGCATGCCGTTTCGCCGAGAACGCCAAGTTTATCCAGGACTTCGAACCGGGCTGCAAAGATAAAAACATTCCACAAGTTGTGCGAGAGATGTTCTCGTATGCTGATGGATTCACGATCTCGCTTAAGAAGGACGGGCTTGCAAATATGGGTGGGGCCCTCTGTTTTCGTGATGGAGGTCTTTTCGCAAAGAAGTTTCCAGATATTGGTATTGAGTTGGAGGAGCGGCAGATTGTGTGTTACGGAAATGACTCGTATGGCGGAATGAGTGGTCGGGATATCATGGCTGCTTGTGTGGGATTGTATGAAGTTACCAAAGAGTCCTATCTTAGCAGTCGAATTGGCCAAGTAAGGAGCTTTGCTGAGAAGTTGGTTGCACAAGGAATTCCGGTCCTATTACCACCGGGTGGACATGCTATCTTTTTGGATATGGATAGATTCTTTGACGGGTGTGGTAGATCTTATGGCGAATTTGCTGGACTTGGATTCGTGATTGAGTTGTTGATGCATTACGGTATTCGCGCGATGAAAGCAGGGCCTTGGGGTGTCAGTATACTTTCTGCTTGTAAGGGAGTATCGCTGACTTTACTTGCAGTGGCAATGGGATAGAAAAAGCGAGCAAGATCGCCATCACATCCCCAACCTTGTGAGGTTTGCTGTTCCACGCCATGTCATGAACAATGAGCATATCGAGTACACCGTGGCAGCGGTGACACAGCTATACAAAAGAAGACATAATATTCCAGGGGTATGTGTCTCAAAACTGTTGCCCCGTATGCTTGAGCTCCACTGATTGACCCGATGTTTGCCAGGTGAAAATTGTTAGAGAGAAAGATCTTCGAATTAGACACTTTTCCTGTAGCATGGAGCCATTACCAGTGCAGAACTCATCTAGTAACAGTGATGAGCCAGGCACTTTTCTTGCAGCCGCCAAAAGCGACTTGTCGAACCTCTGCTCTTCCCTCGGACTCAATGGCAGCTGGCAGCAGCTCGACGAAGCTCTGGAACTCGCGATGCACCCTTGGGGAACAAATAAGATTTCCAGTCAAAAGAACGGCTAGATGTCAGAAATGGCACTTGATAATTCGCCTGTTGAGTATTCAGTTGCAATCGAACAAGACACCGGTACTATACAGCTCCGCGTCTCGTTGGAGGCTGAAGCATCGGAGAACACAATTGAGAGTTACCAAAAGGCTGCTCTTGACCTCACGCAGCAGGTAAGAGATAAATACCCAGGAGTATCTCTAAACCGGTTCGATGCTATCTCAGATCTCTTCTTCCCTCAAGGAGCATCAGGGCCAATGGCGGGAATGCACAGCTTTGTCTCTAACCCCACAGCAGAACCACAATGGAAGATATATCTCAACCCGCGAGCACTCGGTCTATCTGAAGCCGATAATATAGTAAGAGAGGCACTCAATCGACTAGAAATGCCAGAAGCATATGAAGTCTTGCAGGGAATGAAAGCTTCCGAAACCGAAAGTTTTGTATACTTCTCGCTGGACCTCCACCAAAGTCACAAATCTCGCGTCAAGGTTTATATTCAGCACACTGATATAACCGCCATTACCATTATGAAAAGACTTGCGCCATCAATGGGTATGCCAGCTTCCGAGCTTCATCGTTTCTGTACCACTCTATCAGGTGGTTCTGAGGGTCCGTACGCAAGCAAGAAAGTCATCACTTGTTTTGCGTTTACCCAAGGAAGTACTGGCGAGTTGAATATTGAGACGACATTGCATTTCCCTGTCTCTCACTACGCCGCTCATGATGCAGAAATCCAGACACGAGTCCAAAAATACGTTTTGAGCTTGCCCAAAGGCGAAAGACAGGAAGACGCGATATTACAGACATATAAGAGACTTATAGAGGCAGTAGCTCATCGGCTCCTGGAGAGTGGGCGAGGAATCCACGCTTGGGTTGGTCTAAAGGGGTCAGGGACGCGAAGTCCAGTTTTGACTTTTTACTTGCAGCCAGAGATGTTCAAGGTTCTTGAGCGAGAGCATTGTTAGGGTCTGAAAGCGGAAAGAAAGAGTAGTTGTGCGCGTAGAGAAGTGCTGGAAACAGGGTTATCAGTCGTATGGAAATGCGGGTAGATACAGTCTCGACTATACATATAGGATTTTACCGAGTACTGGTGGATTCTTTTCTCCCTTAGCTATTCTCGTAGTGGACGGAAGATGTGCATGAGTCGAAAGTCTTTCAATGATACTGAAAATTCAGCGCCCATAACCATATCTTGGAAAAGAGACGACCTACTTTGGGTAAGGCGTTCTTTAGCGGAGATGTTCGGAGAGGAATTGACAACTGTACTGACTACAAGGCACTCCTCGAGCCATTTGAAGGTCCAATTGAAGACAACTATCACCTACTTCGAAATCATCAGGAAACCCGACGGACGACAAAAACGAATTATAATACATGGTCCTAAAAGGATATCAAAGACTCTGTAGTATTCCCATGTCAAATTAATGTCTGCGTAGCGGCTTAGCAGCCTGATTTGAGTCGCTTCTGTGGAACCTCACCAATTAAAAAAACTGCCAGAATGCTCCAAATCCCGACAAGAGCGGAACAGAAGATTAGGTATTGTTTTACTATGGTACAAAATGATGAAGTATATACATACACATTCGCGGCCTAGGATAGGCGGAGAAGAGTGGCGATGATGGCAGTTAACACCACCCCTGTTGCAGCGCCTTCTAATGCAACAATTGTGACGTCTTGTTTTCGCATCTGTACAGGTCTTTTGCTGAACAGATCTTCCGCAGCCGGTCTCCAAGTTTCTGGCTTCTTAATATCAAGTATTGCGGGCTTCTCCACAGCCTCAAAATCCGTGTTAGAAACCTCCTCAGGTGTCTCTCCCTCGATCAATGCCACCACAGCTTCCACAGCTGATTCTGGTGATGCTTTGGAATCCCCCTGTTCTTCTAGTCCCTGAGTTCCAGCGGCAAGGGCACCGTCAAGAGAGACGCTTTCCGCTTTTTGTCGTTCAAGCTCCTCAATATGGATCAATTTCTCCTTTTCCAGAGCCTCCTTGACCTTATCCTCAAATCCTTGGACCAGCCTCCTCCGCCTCCATGGCTCGAATCCGAATTGAAACACCAAAAACAGCAGAACGTTAACACCCATCAATCCCCAGGTTCCCCATGTACTCATGCGTCTAATTTTATCACTCCAAATCTGCTCTTCGTGATAGCGACTCAAAATGCTAGAACTCAGCTTACTAGCCGCAGTCTCGGCTTCACGTTCGGCGTCCGCGAGCCTCGTTGCGGATTCCTGGACTGCCTGCTCGTTGCTGTGGTCCATTCGATACAAAGAGGTAAATCTTTCCAGATCTGTGGGATTCCACGTATCCTTTCTTGCCAATAAACCAGTCACTTCGCGTTGCGTTGCGGCTCGGTCTGCGACTGTGGCCTTATATATGTTTCGCGAAGAACGTACGAGTTCTTGGGCATCTGCTACTCGCTTCTCCAGCTCGGTGATGCGCACTTTGAGGGCCTCGATACCGGAGTAGCCTGTGAGGTCATTGATGCGCTGAGAGGCAATGAAGATGTTGCCCTGGAGGTGGTCCATAACATGGGAGAAGCGTTTCGTGACATCGCTTCGACGGTTGTCTTCTGCGGATGGAAGGTCGGTTGAAGTATCTTCTGCTATTGGGGATGCGCTCAAAGATTCGGATTCAGAAGAAGGTTGGGATGACGGAGGGGTTGTTGGCTTTGGAGGGTCGGCATAGCGCCGGATCTGAGTGCGGATTTTACATTGTACACAGATTGAGGGTCGAATTGAGGGCCGATTCGACAATCGGTAGGTTCGTGCAAGGGCGGAGGAGTTGACGGATTCAAAAAGGAACCTGGGGACAGTGCGAGCCAGAGGGTGCATGGCCGCTGTCCTTGTGCTGTTCAAGAATGGCCGAGGATACGGATTTTTGGAGTTGAAGCTCTGGATCTGGATCTGGTTGATTTTCAGACCCTGGCACAACCTCAATACCCTGGCTGTCACCGCCTTGGTCCCGATCGCCTTGGGCAGGTGGGGTCTATACATACAACCCCACCATCAACTCCTAAGCATTCGCATTCCTTGATTCATAGACTGGTTCATAGATTTGCGGGTAGACTTGTGTATTTCTTGCGATTGGCCACTTTGGAAGAACCGAGAATCCTGTCTATAAGCCTTTTCAATTCCCTGGTAAGTCCTAGTGTCGAGAGAAGATCGCATCCCCTCCTCCATTCCCTATCCATTCACCCTTCCTTGGGAAAACACCCAGCAGATACTGACGATTGTTTGCAGATTCGTATATAGAAAGTTAACCAAGATGTCTCCTCATACCCTCCCCGCCATGAAGACCAAACCCAAGTTCATCTTCTTCACCGATTTTGATGGCACCATCACTCTCCGCGACTCCAACGACTACTTGACAGATAACTTGGGCTATGGCCAAGTCCTCCGTAAGAAAGGAAATGCAGATGTTCTCTACGGCCGCATGTCATTCCGCGACTCCTTCCAAGGAATGATGGATAGCGTCAAGACACCATACGACGAATGCATTGAGACACTGTTGGCGAACATCAAGCTGGATCCCGGGTTCAAGGAGTTTTACACTTGGTGTCGGGCAAACAATGTACCAGTCGTGGTGTTGAGCAGTGGAATGGAGCCAATCATCCGAGCATTGCTAGTCCATCTCATTGGCGAGGAAGCGTTGGATATTCAGATAGTGAGCAATCAAGTTGCTCCAAGAGACGGGAAGAGCATCAATGAAGAAGGTGGATGGCAGATTGTGTTCCACGATCCTAGGTAAACAGTCCGGACATTTCTCAGGCTATGAGAAAATACTCTAACACCGAATTTAGTGACTTTGGCCATGACAAATCTCTAGAAATTCGGCCATATAAAGAACTTCCCGACGGCGAGCGTCCAGTCATGTTCTATTCTGGAGACGGGGTTTCAGATCTCTCCGCAGCGAAAGAAACGGATCTCCTTTTCGCCAAGAAGAACATGGGTGGGTTTTCTTCTCCTCATTGAAAAGCAGCAAAATATATTGACAGATGTCCAGACTTGGTCACATACTGCGTTAAGCAAAATGTCCCTTTCACCGAGTTCGAAGACTTTTTGACTATTTTGAACACTGTCAAGAAAATCGCAGAAGGAAAGACTGATGTCAAAACCGTTGCTGCTGAAGGATATGAAGATTACAAAAGAAGAAATCCGATTCTTGAGATGGCATAAGGATAGAAAAGAAAGAATGCTAGCAGAGTAGATATAGATCGCTTACGAATAGACCGTGTTTCGATTGTGACTTAGCTTGCGGCAATTTTGTAAGTGACCTGATTGTTGCTTCGCGTATACACCTCCAAGTTTACGAAGATATAAGTAGTGTGATGCCAATGCGTCTTACCTGATGGAACTAAAACCTAATTTAGGACGGTACCATTTGTTTATAGGTATTAATACATACCAAATAAGCTCGTTTTAAACCTTACTGTATATTTACATATATCTCGCCCCTTATCTCAATTTACCGCTCTTTCCTATTCCACTTCTATCGCATTTTTACTACTTTCGTCGTGTTGGTTTGACTTATTCAGTCAAGTGGGTGATGCAAAAGACCTATATTACTAAGGGTAATAACTAAGTCTCAGGTTGCATTGTCCAAGCAAGTGTAGCTAGCTAAGTGCCTACGTACTTATAGGTGCCATAGTACGCTAGTAGAGCACGCTAGTCCCGAAGGAGCAGCTACGCTCAGAGCTAGCTAATAATCATTCACTATTATAAAGCGACACATCGTTTTTTCGTTCTCTGCTGGTCACCCCTTTTGACTAACCACCCCACTTTGTGTGTGTACCTTCATGGACAGCTTGCTCAAGAAACCAGACTTGGAAAATTACTCAAGAACACAACCAAAACTGCGCAGTATCTACGCCAATATTTCAGTTTTGTCAAGAATATGGGGTGATCAAACTTACGCTGCAGACGCCGCGAAGATCTCATGTCTTTTCGCTTGCGTAAATAGCGACATGACCGCAGAGAAAATGAGGCTGAAAACTAGTAGTACCATAATACTAGTTGTGTGAGTGACATCCATGTCTCCCACAGAAGTCAATCTATTAAGCAGGAATATTGGAACGACCAATAAACACAATAGGACTATTGTAAAGATAGCCGTAGTCGCGATTTCTTTGCGGCTCTTGGAGTAATAGTGTAGATTGGGGTCGGTTGTTTTTTCTCTGTCTGTCTATATTGTGTTAGTTCCAATCTTGTTTTGCTATGATGTGCTGTACCTTTGAGCAAAAGATAAGCTGCAGATTTTGTTAGCAATGCTATACGAACGTGCTTAAGTAGAAGTACCTGTAGTGGCTTGCAATGGAACACTTTGAGTAATGTTTCGATGAAGTTGTCGAGTAGTGCCATTTCACGTCCGTCTCGCAGGGTTATGAGGTCTTCTTTCTTATATATAAATCCTTGCTCTTCGTCAACTAGTGGTTGCTTGCCAAATATATAGCGCTCAACACTTTTGAAGTCACGTGTGGCAGGTTTGTTCAGAGCGACCATATTTTGGGTTTGCAGCAACAATTCTCCTGAAGTATGTCAGCACAATCAAATTTCAATCGGAGCTAAATTTAGTGACCGTATTGTTTCAATACTATCTCAATGTCATCAAGGATGTCTGTTCGCGTTCGAGTTCCAGGACTTTCCCTCGCTGTTTTCGCGCAAGATGCTTCGTCAGAGTCCCTAGATCTTAGATCCAGCCGTGCTCTTGATGTAGCTTCTTCTGTCTCGTCTTCTGGAAGGTCGCCATCATCATGTTCATCTAATTCGTCTTCCAAGGTCCGGAGCTGGTCTTGTTTCCTCAACAGTATGCGGGAATGCAGATATCCAAACCGCCTGTAAATCATGAAGTTCTCATCGCTGTCAAGAAATGTACTCAAAGAACGATATCCCCTGTGTTTGTCTTCTACTTCTGAAGTTTAGTTCAATAATTCAATAAGTCTCTACTAAAGTTCGAGTTTAAGCTTACATTTTCTAACAAGCACTTCTCGTTTAACCTCATCGCCAATTTGGGCTTCACGAGTAACCGACCAATGGAAGAACTTCTTAATGAACGCCAGTTTTGGAGCTCTTAGGACGCTGCTTGATAACTAGCGCACTGTGTTTGGCTCGCTTGACAAAGATTTTTCTAAATCAGTCCCTCGAGTGCAAAACGTCGAAGCGTCTGTGATTCGGGAAATCGGGGGTTCCATGCTGATTGATTCTGGGTTCCCATTTCACTTTTTTGAGATTCTTAGACTACTTATAACTATAAGACTCTTCAGTGCGGCTGGCGATCGGAATGGGGCTTCTAATGCCACCAAAGGAGCCATTCAAATGGCCATCTTGAAGATGCCCATGTGTGGAGAGGTTATTGCTTGCCTTACAGCATTGGATATTTCAGAATGGTATTTGATTGGCCACTGACGGCTCGGTGACCGAAAAAGGCAGGTTACAGTACATGATGCACCTGGCTTAATGCGGCCACTTCAACCTTTTCTGCTCAACCCACTCTCCATTGTTGTAAGGCTCTTCGCCCTGCTTCACTTGGTACTGATATAGTCTCGATTCTTCATGCTTCCTGACACCCACAATTTCAACCTTGAAAGAACCTCGTGGTTTTCCGAGATTGAGGAGCACCTCATCGCCTATCTGGTATTTGGAAGCGTTCTATGCTTTTTAGTATCAATTGCATCTCAAAGACATTAATAACAAACTTCAGTGGGGTTGTCAGGCGGCGAGACATGAGAGCGATGCTCTGGCACCTGAATCTTCTGGTTTTATTTTCGTTATTGAGTGATAGGGGTTTAAATGATACAACAGGGGAATTCGTACCTCGCTTCCCGCTTGCTCGTCTTCCTGCATTCTTGTTGGGTAGCCTTATCGATTATGACACGTTCTTGCGCTTGATCTTGGTTGACACCCAAAGAGAGTCTGCCTTGAGAAGTGCCCTGTCAGGTAGGCTTTAAGGGCTGATCCAAAATACTGGATGAGGCTCAACGATCGGTCCACACCGAATTCTTCTTTGGTCAAGGCTTCCGTACTGATGCAAGCCATCATGCAGGTATTTCCTTTTGAAGTATAGCCGTCCAATCATCTTGGAGCAACCAGCTGATCGCTTCTACCTCTGGAAACCCCGGAGTCTGACTCCACTGTTGTTATCGGAGTGCCTTATGCTTGACTTCCATCAGGCTCCACAAAGGGCAACCAGGGATTAGTGAGCCGTAAAAGGTGTAATATATCGCGTACTGGCTATCTATTCCAGTAGAATCTCTGGGTTCCGCATTTCTTCTGCAGTGTCCACACAAAAATCTCCTCGAAACAACAGTCGCAACACAGCAGGTAATTATTGGTTTATATCGAGGTGAATATGTCAAACCAACTCCAGTTGGAGGTTAAAACCTCAGGTACACTCCACCAACCTGAAAGTCACCAAGACAAGGTTGCATCTGATGATTTCAAAATGAAAGCAATTTGGGATGCGGAGATAAAAAATCCTAGTAGGAAACCACTTTTGTATCGGGAGGCAGCAGCACTTTTGATATCTTGGGATGATGGTGTTGATGATCTGAAGACTGGAGAAGAGGTAAGTTCAAGCTATTGTAGCCAGAGTCCTGACCTCTCTGCTAATGTGCCAAGGTTGATCGACTTCAAAGACTCCTTGAAGATACTTTCAATTACAAGACCGTCAAAGGGGTTCTTTATGAAAAGACTCACCCAAGTCCTCAGATTCAAATCAATCGACATCTCGCTAATTTCGTCGGAGAATATGATAAACCAGATACCTTGTTGATTGTGTATTATGCAGGTCATGGAAAACCTGGAGAGCCTGAAAATGGGCTCACTTTCGTCGGGTGCGTGTTTATTAGTTCAATTCTCACAAGACATAGACACTCACTAACATCCATTGCTCAGTCGTCAAGACCTCAACCCAAAACCCGACGCTTCATCTCACGAAATCATCTGGGGCTCAACAGAACACAATATTAGACATGCTACAAGTGATATACTCGTCATATTTGACTGCTGTCACGCAGCACAGCTAGAAAAGAATGTTCGGTCAGCGAAACACCGAAGAGCCTACGAGGTTAGTCAAGTTTTTCATAAGTCTCCCATATACATCTTGAGAAACCCTTTGTGAGAGGATTGAGATATCGCCTTAGGACAACGCGGTCCTTTTCCCTCCCGTATCTACCTTAAACCGCATAAGAATGGTATTGCTGATTCAAAGCGCTTCCTACAGTACCTCGCAGCAACTTCTGCTGGATCGACGACTAACAGGCCTGGTCCGACATCTTTCACTACTGCAATGATCTGGGCTATGAAAAGTTTGGTAGAGACCGGGGAAGGATTTACTATCCAAAGATTGCTTCACACCATCATCAATGAAGCACCAGATTTCCCCGACGATCAATTCCCGCGACAATCGGAAGGCGTGAGTTCCTGTTTACGAAAACTTACATTGACTCCTTTAAAAGTCGATACCAAGCACGAAAGTATTTCCAACGAAGCACGAGACGAGGAAGGGCCAACAACAGATCTCAGCCTACGATTCGTCTTCAACTCTCCGTCAGTCAGTCCGACATTGATCAGCCACCTTGCGAAAGAAATCTCAAACTGCCTCAGCAATGACCAATTGAAGGGTAGTATGGTCGTGTGGGAAGGTCTGAATACGCGCCCAGCTCAATTCGATGAATCTCCAGTTTTGTTGAATTACTATGCCCATCGATGGCTGAAAAAATCTCTCAAACGAAAAGGTCGCGCTCAAGTCTCAAACATCACTGAGACCAAAAACGGCAAGCGTGATAACTGCGAGTCCTCCATGCCAGAGAGGAAACATCTCAGTGCTACCGATACGGCAAAGGGGATCCTGACGCCTTACACTTCCGAAACAAGCCCACGAACCCCTGTCAGCGGTGCTGAAGATCATTCTGACGATCCCATAGAATCGTGTTCTCCGAAAAGAAGGAAGTTCTCATTCTGATAGCACTTTTCAAGTTTATCCCGTTCTTGTGGGTTCGGATGTTATGGTTTTCATGTCTTGGGGCTAGGTTGGAGTTGACACTTGAAAGTGTAATGATAATGGTTATTAGAGTATTGTTTTGTCTACTGTACATATTTTCTAATGTTGCAGGCGCGGTGTATATTGCAGTACTATACTCAGCAAGGACGATATACTTAACCCTCACTTATAAATAGCTTAATGTATATTTCAAACGCTCTGTTTACTTTGTACGGCATCTCACCGCGAGTTAGACAAGGTACAGTAGCAGTTATTTCTCAAATTCGTGGCGTTCATATTCCCAAAATTATGGTTCTTGCATTTCGGTACTTCGAAGTAATCAGTCTTAACTACATTGTAAACACGAGGGGCCTACAAGAATATAACTCTAATAACCTTAGACTATCTGAATGAATAAGTCTTGCTTTCAAGATTCGTGCATGAGCTCCTCTCTCTGGTACCACCTAACTCCCCGGCCTAAAAAATGGGTTGGTTGAAGTCTAGTGGTTCTCGGTTTATATGAACGAACCTGATCCTCTTCGCTTCATTATACAAATGCTAGTTGCAAACACGAGGCACAGGTAGCAGAATGACTTAACTAGGAACGGCCATAGATAAAGTATGTAGATAGAAGTGTTGTGATAATGTCTATACCATTCCGTGTCCCGAAGGACATAACGAATTTTTTTCATTACACTTAGAGCCTCCTTACACTTCCTATTACTAGCCTCCAACTGCTACTTTGAAAGTTGTCTACACCTTGTGATTTTGATATTTGTACTCTTGAAATTGTTATCGCGTGTAGAATATTAGGTTATAAAACGCTCTTAGGAGCTAAATTAAGCGAGTAAAGGTTATTTATATATACGTAGAAAGTACGGAATACTGCTCCAGCAGAATCTGAATCTGGAGGATGTATACGATGTTTTTACAATGGCATTACCGAGACGCCTTCAACGCCTCCAATCTACAATGGTTTCTGATCTAAAGTTTTGAAACCCCGATAGGGCTGACACTGTGGTTGACGGCCATTTGTTCCCGCCATCTTTAACATTCTCTAGCAGCGCCACATTTTAAGTCAGGAACATCCATCAACTACCAAAACGACAAGTCGCATAACTCTTATATCCGAGTGTAAAACAGCCGAAGCAAGGGATTCAACTCCCAAACTCCTCCGGCAAATCCCATATCATACACGAATCCCCTTGAATCCCCCAAATCCCACAAGCATACATCCAATCCCCATCCCTCCATTCCTCTTATTCCTCAAGCGCACTCCTTTCCAACGCCTGCACAGCATTATCCAATTCCCGAATCCTATTCCCAATCCTTTTCTTGATCTCCTCCCCATTCTCCCCTTTACAAGCGTCCTCAAACATACTCTTCAACTTATCCAATTCCTCTCTCGCTGCCTCGCGGTCTCCCGCTCCGTAAACGGATTTCTTTTCTGTTTCCTCACTCGCGATCTCGAATTCGTCGCGCGCAGTGAAGTACTGGTCCTGCAGGGTTTCGATGAGGCTGTCCGCTGAGGATTTACTTGCGTACGTGCGAGTGAAAGGAGCTTGTGCGAGGCGCCGGGGAATACGAGGGGTTTGGCGTAGAGGGGTGGTGGGTAGCTTGATCGTTGGGATTGCGAGGAGGCGGGAGGGTGAGGATGTTGAGAGACAGCGTGTTAGGGTTGTGGTTATTGCTTTTTGAACTGGGATTGCGCGTAGAGAGAACATGGTGGCGGTTTCTTTCCAATGTCAAAGTTTCCAATCCAATCCAACGCAATTCGAAGGTCCATTGATGTCGATGACGGAGCTCATGCTCATGGCTGATCCCCGGCGTTTCAAACCAGGGTCCAGCTCCATCCAGCTCCAGCTTCCAACAGAACACATCTACACAGCAGCAACATCATGAAAACCCTCAACCTTCCTCTCTTCCAAAAATCCTCGCCATGTTGATTCTGACCATGGCGCAAGAGAAGAAATCCCTCCCACTACATCTCTCCATTTACCAACAAGCAAAGCAATTCGCGCTGGGCACCCATCCACTATCCCAATATGGCCCTCCATTGCTCTTACTGGGAGATGCCGTGCTGACCAGTCTTATTATCGCGAATACTTCATGTAAAATCACCGTGCAGTTTACATTTCTGTAAATCCAGCTAATTGTATAATTTCAGATACGGAGATCGATTGGAAAGCATATATGGAGCAGCTCCAACAATACGTAGATGGCGAACGCGACTACACCCTCATCAAAGGCGGAACAGGACCCTTAGTGTATCCCGCCGCACATGTGTATATTTATTGGGTCTTGTACCATATCACAGATAAAGGGAAGAATATACTGCTTGCGCAGAGGATCTTTGGAGTTTTATATTTGGCAATATTAGCTATGGTCATGGCATGTTATAAGAGGGCAAAGGTACAAATTCAAGACACAGAGGAGAAATCAAGCCTGCGGACTGACAATTGTTGTACAAAATAGGCACCGTTTTACATATTCCCTATGCTCATACTCTCGAAACGATTACATAGCATATTCGTCCTGCGACTCTTCAACGACTGCTTTGCGGTCTTCTTCCTCTGGGTTGCCATATATATGTTTCAACGCCGCTTATGGACACTGGGGAGTTTGGCATATAGTTGGGGGCTTGGGACTAAAATGACCCTGCTGTTGGCACTTCCAGCGGTAGGAGTAACGCTGTTCTTAGGAAGGGGGGTGCGGGGAGCCTTGAAACACGCGTGGCTGATGGGTCAGGTCCAAATCATTATCGCATTTCCCTTTCTACCAATAAACACACTTGGCTACTTGGGAAGAGCTTTCGAGTTCTCGAGACAATTTATGTTCAAATGGACTGTGAATTGGAGATTCGTGGGAGAAGAAACATTTTTGAGCAGAGAGTTTTCAATGGCTCTGTTAGCTGGCCATGTAAGCACACTTTTGCTCTTCATTACAACTAGGTGGTTGAAGCCGGCCGACAAGTCGATCATGAGGTTTATTTCGAATGCGCTGAAGTTCCAAGAGCCCCTTGGAAAGCTGCAAAATGCTGTCGCCAGTCGCCTTTCTGCCAACTACATCCTGACGACAATTCTCACGGCCAACGCCGTTGGAATGCTCTTTGCGAGGTCCCTGCACTACCAATTTTATGTCTACATAGCACTTGCGACGCCTTTTCTCCTCTGGCGGAGCGGTATGCATCCGGTCCTTCAATATATCCTGTGGGCGGCTCAGGAATGGGCTTGGAATGTGTACCCAAGTTCAGATTCCAGCTCGATGGTTGCGGTGGGTATTTTGTTTGCGACGGTCATCGGTGTGTGGTGGGGGACTCGTAAGGACTTTGACAATTTGAAGGGCGATCCTAAAAGCGAAGCCACAGCTAACAAGAAACGAATATGATTATCGACCAAGGCAATAATGAATCCTATTCGTCTTCGTCTTCCGAGTCCTCCATAGGCGGCATTTTTCCAACGGTGGATTCCTCTTCATCAGAATCCTCTGCGTACTCAGAAGCTTTTGGGAATTCCTTCGGCCTGGCAAAAGGTACTCTCAGTAAAGTGTTCTCCAGGAGTTCCGGAGAATTAGACGTACCAATATGATTCCTTGCGCCATGTATGCTCGTCGCGAACTACATTGATGATCTCGCCATCAATCTTATTTTGTCTGACATCAGCTTCCTTGGTGTCAACCAACACGAAGCCCCCGCGTTTTATCCAGATTGTATTACGGAACCGGGACTCAAGCTCGACTAGAACCGTCTTTTTATTGGGAAGAGCACATGAGTAAAGGGATTTTCCTTCTGCTTTGATGACACGGGCAATCGACTGAGTGGATGTCAAGGTTGCGGGAGGGGTGGAAGTTTCTTCCGCAGCAGCGACAACGTTTCGCTTTGGTCGACCCATGACAGTTCACTGCTGTGTGTTGATTATTGAGGGAAATGTTTGCTTGTTCTGGTGGCACAGATCCAAATGGGAGCCGTGAGATGTTTGGGTATCAATGCGGCCCAGTGTTCGTTTGATCTTTGGGAGTTGTATTGTAAAAGGAAGAAATTGTTCAGACGAAGATCACCCGAATGGAGGGGTAGGAAATCGGCAAGTTTTCCGAGGCCTAGGGGGTCTCCAATGGTTTACGATCTTATCCGCCACTTAACACGATACCCCACATGGCGTTCACGCCCTACGGTAAAGTAGGCCAGGCTAACAGCAGTGGCTTCAGGGATAATAACGCCGATGGCGGTCCTGGGCTGGGCACGGCTGGGGTCTGGGGAAGCTTCAAAAAGAATGCCATTTATATATAAGCTTCCGGGCAAATTTTCCCGGCTATCTTGCTATGCATCCCATTTCGCCTATGCCCAATGTTGTAGTAGCTCTTGTTGGTGTGCCACACTTCCTCATCTTCATCACCAATGAACCGGACTTCCATGGGCGAAAGAGCTCCCCACAATTCGCGGACAACAGACCTCCGCAGGAACTAGAATGCAGAGAACTAATAAATAAATGGATCGCTCTCCCCACACCAAGCGGTCTGGAGCTAAAGCTTCTAGAGCTTGTGTTTTTCTTATCGTGCATGTGTTTACCTAGGTCGTCTTTTTTCTGTTCTATATATTATTGTATCGTCTCGTCATCGAGTATATTGTAGTGTTGAAACAAGCAGAACTTTCATCGAGTACCTATTTGTCTCTCGTTCTCAAACTATCATGTCTTCCAAGGGGTTTGGTGCCTTTATCGACATCCAGCCAATATCCAAAGATGTGGCAGGATCTTCCGTCCTCAGTGCTCCTCAAAAAGCCGTTCCTCGAGTCTACCACTCGGTCCCTCATACCCCCGAAATCGAGCTCGAAAACATTCAATGGGGCAAAAGAACCAAAGGTCAATTCAAGAGTGGCACATCAACACCTTCAGGTACTCAGACGCCAAGGGTTCCCATTTACAACGATATCGAGATGAGTCGGCCCACAAGTCCTACACAAGGAGATGGAGTCGATGCAATGCAAAGTTTCTCAAATCCGCCCATGAATAGGTTTCGCATGACCAGTGTCTGCTTGTTAAATTTTGGAAATGGTCTTAGTGATTCGGCACCTGGTGCTTTGATCCCTTATTTGGAAAAGTTCGTGGACTTTCTCTTATAAGGAATGCCAGTGCTAATAAGCATTTAGACATTATAACATTGGATATGCTATAGTCTCTTTGATTTTCGTCGTAAGTAGTTGTTTTTTCACCACACTACCTTGTCTTACTCTATTTCATGATGCATCTTCTGCTTTCGTGTATTTGAACCAAAGGTCCCAATCATGTATAGAGCAAAGAAGAAGCTAATTCTTATGCTAGGGCAACGCCTGTGGATTCCTCATAGCAGCTTTCTTCGTTGATGCCATCCGAGCTCGCCTCGGAAGAGGCAAAACTCTTATGATTGCCCAAGCATTCATGGTAGCAAGCTATGTCGCAATTGTTGCCACACCACCATTCCCAGTCACTGTCGTCGCATTCTTCACCCTTGGGATCGGTATGGCCATGAATCTCGCAATGGGTAATGTCTTCGCGGCCAATTTGCAAAACGGAACAACGATGTTGGGAGCAATGCATGGATCATATGGTATTGGAGGAACAATTGGACCCCTAATTGCCACGGCCATGGTAGCAGCAGGTGGACTCCTATGGAGCAGATTTTACCTTCTCACCCTTGGAGTTGCAACATTCAATCTCGTGTTCGCAGGCTGGTCATTCTGGCACTACGAAGCAGAAACCGGACAAACCCTCCTCACATCCCTCGAAAGAACGGCCTCCCAAATCCAGACCGCGCAACAAACTCAAGAACCGGGAAAATTTGCAAGCATGACGGCAGCCTTCAAATCGAAGACTGTCATCCTGGGAGCTATGTTCATTTTCGCTTACCAGGGTGCGGAGGTCTCGATTTCGGGCTGGGTCACAAGTTTCTTGATTAATACTCGTAATGGAAATCCTGAGACGGTGGGATATGTTACGGCGGGATTTTGGGCGGGTGTTACGCTGGGGAGGTTCTTACTCTCGCATCCGGCGCATAAGATCGGGGAGAAGATTTTTGTTTATGGTGTTGTGGTGGGAGCCGCTGTTTTTGAACTGCTTGTTTGGTTGGTGCCGTAAGTACTATCCCTTTCCTTCCTGCTTTTTTTAAGACATACCTTTCCCCTGGACACTGGTGACTTTGTTGGAAATATACTAAATCTTCATAGAAATGTCATCGGTGACGCAGTAGCAGTCGCAATAGTCGGTCTATTCCTAGGTCCTGTTTACCCATGCGCAGCGACCATTTTCACTCGCGCCATAGGCAAGAAGGAACAAGTCAGTAGTATGAGTGTCATCAGTGCATTCGGGAGTTCAGGCGGTGCCGTGGCACCTTTTACCACTGGTATTTTGGCACAGGCTGTTGGGACTTTTGTCTTGCATCCTGTTGCTATTGGGTTGTTTGGGGTTATGTTGATTTGTTGGTTTTATCTTCCGAATGTTAGGAAGAGGACCGAGTAAAGTGTGTGGCATTAAGGAATGTTTGGGTTTGTAAATATGGCACATTTTGCGTTGTTTGGTCGGAGGGTTGTATTTTGCAAAGGTGCTGGGGCGTTTTATTTACGAATCTTCTTTATAAATTACAGAGGCTTGGTTAAAATGGTCAACCGGACTCAACCCTATATTATGAGATTTAGGCTTTCTAACTACTAATGTTACGATATTTCCTTAGATAGACCACTTTTGTTACTGTTTTATTTTTTGTCAGGTGACCGCTGTATCTTACAACCTGATTCCATTGGCTAATCAGAGGATAGACAGCACTGGATCGCCTGTACTTACTTATTCTGCTACTGTAGAAAGATTTACAGTACAAACACCCCGCGCCTCCCAGATCACTTGCATCTAAGCACTCATCTAGCACTCATCTAACTACCCAACACTCTCATCACTATGCCACCTTCCACGACGCCCAGTTCTGGTTCGCTAAGTGATCAAACAACTCACTAGTCCCTATGTACACTTCGTAGAACCGTGGAAAAGGTGGACGCGCCGTGCGAGCCGATTAGTGTAGCCTCATTGTTGCAGGAGAAGGTGAGTTGGGATAGTTCTAGAGAACATCTTGCTAACTAGAATTTAGGAGGACATTTCAAAAGAATGAGTTACTAGCGGCGAGAGAGCGAGAACCTCGGAATCATCCTCCTCGAAGATTTCGAAAGCATCAACCCATAGGAAATATGGTCGCGAAAAGAAGAGCAGAAGACAGATGGGGGTAGGTTGATTACAAAAGGGTTACTTCTTCTCTCAAGAAGATTATTGGGAGAAAATGATAGGTACAGTACCTACAATTGATCAGCTGGAAGACTGGGCGACGGTGCATCCAAGGACAAGTGGTTTCGAAGATTTGGGTCATTTGTAGGGACAAAGACGTTGTTGAGTCTTCCTAGGGCTCGAGATGAGATCTGGAACATGCGAAAGAAGCCAGAAATTGAGAAAATCTGTACCCTCAACCCGCTTCTAGATCAGTCTCGAGGGTACGTTAATTCGGTTCCATGTACGAGGTGTGAACGGGGAAGGGAAGCTTTAAAAGGGTGTGTGACGATAGATGATATACGGATTATCAGGAAAAATACCTGCTTTAATTGTTGTTATTCTTTTAGGAAATGTAATGTAGATGTTAAGAATAGTAAGTGGGATTTCCTTGGATGACTTAGGAGGACTGTACATAACTAAGACTAAATTTATTAGGTAACTTACGCCCGCATTCAAGAAAGGCACCTATGGTGACCAGATCACCAGATATAGCGAATCCGACTCCGTCGAGGAGATCATTGTTAATGATAAGCTTGAACGGGTTCGAGATTGGAGAATGATAGGAGAGGATGAAGCAATGGAAATTCAGGGGCGAAAGTTGGAAGTGCTAGGGAAAGCTGTGTGAAGTTGAACTAGCACAGAGAAAAAATAAGGAACGTGGGAAGCAGTTGAAGGGAGAGATAGGGAACATTTTCACAGTATCATGTACAGAAAAGGGTGGGGAGGTTCGTTAGAGGCTGGATAAGCTGAATAGGGAAGAAAGGGCGACGGACGAGACCTAGGTTTTCGTGGGGCAGGTTTTGTTACCCATGTGTAAAGAATGGTAGGAACAGTTACTGACTATTAAGAAGGGATGAGGATGTAAGATTCTCAAAGGGCGAGGATAAGCTAGAACTACTAGCGAGCGCATTATTATTATATAGCTACTACGCGATTCATGACGGCACACACCCGCATTCATTACTTCCTCTGTCCAAAAATCAATACGCTCCCTCTCTCGCCCTATAATCAGGAGTAGGCACATTCTTCGGCTCTTTAATACTTGTCCAAACCGGTACCCCAGCCTCAAGCGAAAAGCCCGACACCCCCACCCCCTCTCCCTCTTGTCCCCAAACCAAAAGACCGACCCAGTTTGTCCCATGATAATTCAACACACCCTGCGTAACAGAGAAAACACTCTGAGGACCAACGTTGTTGACATATTTCCCATACTGATATCCATTAACATATAACTGAGCCCTATAATTAGCCGTCGCTCCAGAGGACGTCGTCCCATTCCCAAAAGCAAACGAGAGTGGAATGTCGTAGTTCTTGGGCAGGTCCAAGGGGAAGAAAGCTTGGTAGAAGGAGACGCCCGGTTTATCGCTTCCGGTAGAGGGCGAGAGTGAGATCCAGTTGTGGTTTGGAGGGTGTGGTTGTGTGAAGCCTTGTCTTTCGGCGTAGAGTCCTCCTTCGTTCAGTGGACCGCGGGCTTTGTCGATATACTCTTCGCCGCCCAGGTTCCCGGTCAATTTCCAGGTTATGGTGGTGGACGGTCGGCCTGAGAGGTCGTAGGAAAGGATTCCTCGAGGGTGTTTCATCTCGTCGGGCCCGACGATCCAGTTTTCGTCGAGTCCCATGTTGTCTACTACTACGGTGAAGACATAGGTTTTACCTGCTGCGAGATTGGGTAGTGTATATGTTGAGTTGTAGTTGGTAGATTTGTCGTTTCCAGTCCAGGAGCCGATGTAGGTTGAGTTCAACCAGACGGAAGAACCAAAGGCACTTCCTCCTTGTGTTTGTATAGCAAAGGTGCTTTCATTGCCTGCCGCTACGAAGGAACCGCGGAAGACTAGGACACCGGTGTGATAACCATAGTCCGATCCGAAGAGAGATGTTGGAGTTCGCAGTTGGTATGGGTTCGTGGAATTTGTTTTGGAAGCCACGGTCCATAAAGAATCGTCGTAGCCAGGTGAGATTTCTGGGAGACTATCGATGTATTTCCAGTCTAGTGTCGTAAGATCGGGGAGTACAATTTCTGGGAGAGTATATGGGATTGTGGAAGTCCATTCTCCTGTAACTGGGTCTGCGGTGATCTCTAGTTTGAGGTCGTTGAAATGAAGCGACCTAACACTTGACGGTGCACCAATCACTTTGATTGGTGTGGTGGCATTGACATCTCCTGTTAGATGCAGAGCTGGGCCGTTGATATAGACCGTTCTAATCAGATACCCAGCTTGTACAATGACGGAAGTTCTGTCTTCGATATTCGAAGTGCTATGAAAGGTCAGCTAGTCGTTCTCACGTGAGTTTCGACAACTTACTATGCTCCCCATGCATCATCTCTAAAAAAATCAGGGACCCATAAATTATATGCCGTGTTTCTGTCAAGCATGTAGATGAACAGGTCACCAACCTGAGCAACTTGCCGCGTTGTGGATACTTTCCAGTTTAACGCAACACTCCCGTTGCTGACTTTTGTTACGACGTCACTGCCCTCAATTTGTTTCGGCACACTCTGGCTGATCACAGAGAGCTCATGTTGCTCCCCTGGTCCGCCGTATACAACTAAGACTGTCTTATCCTCGAACTTTTTCCAGGTGAAAATCTCAGCTGACGAGTAAAGAAGAGTAGTTTCTCCAAGGTCGTAATCAGTGACATGAAACTTCGAATCTCGTCCACTCAAAGTCAACTCTCCGTCAATCTGTGGGATCGTGACTGTTCCTTGACTAGTTTTTACGTTCATCTTATAAGTTGTTGGGGTCGTCTGTCGATAGTCTGCATGTCTGACAATACTAGATCCCTATTAGTCTCTCAAACACCAAGCGTCAAGTGAAGGATTGACGTACTAAAAGTTCGTGGCTGAGCCATTTCCAAATAAAGGAGTTGTGGTAATGGAATCGGAATCAGTGTGAACCCCGACGGCCGCAGGGTCTACAGATGCCGTCAAAAGCGCAGGGCTGACTTTCATGAAGTTGGCTTGGAGTTTCACCTCGCTATATTTCTCTCGGTAGATTTCACGGTTTTCGGCTATGCTGGAGCCATAGTCGTAGCTTGTATAACCACCGGCATGGCCCAAGTTGCCCCAATTGCTATTCTATGTTAGTAAACAGTTCAAAGAAGGATGGTTTGAACTTCAATATTCTTCTCAGGAGGTCTATTTACTCACGTTCCACCGACTGCACAAGTTAGCCAGTAATCTGTGGTAAGAATGCTAAGAATACTCACAGATCATATAGATATTGAAAAAGGTAGCACCTGAAGCAAAATTGTTCTTGTAATATACCCTTTCGAATTCGTGGTTGACCAGTTCAGAGCATTGAGCGAAGCCCTATAATTCATTAGCTACTTCCCCATGACGCTATCATTTTTGAACTTACGAGGCCTCCCCAAGGATCGAAAGCACCACCTTGAAACTCGACAAGAGAAAACAGGGTAGATGGACTTTGGGTTTCATGAACTTCATGGTAGTTCGTCGGTAGACCGTTATCTGGCCATACTGTCGGGTTGGCACAATCGAATCCAACTGGATAGGCGTCATGCCCATAGATGTCGACATTTGCCTCCTGAGTCCCGTTCCAGGTTGACCCGGGTGCAAAAGTACCTAAAAGATTAAGTTAACTTCATGGTTTCTGGGGGTAGTAAAGATTAAGCAGCGAAACTATAAGAATGTACCTTTTGGCGAGGCGTCATTACTGATGAGTGGAACAACAATCCCGGCATCCTTGAGTTGCTTTTTGATATACGCAAAATACACAGGATCTGGATAGCCACCTTCTACAGGGCCACTTGCACCAGTGTATTCGTTCTCGGGTTGGACCAAGATGATAGGTCCCCCATTCGTGATCTGAGCTTTCGCAATCGCTGCGCCAACATTTGCCATGTAAATATCTGTGGCTGCGAGGAATTCTGCATTTCGAGTTCGAAGCTGTCCTTGGACTCGTTGCAGCCACCCCGGAAAGCCACCCCCACTGACTTCAGCATTTATGTAGGGTCCCGGTCTTGCAAGAAGATAAATCCCTGCCTCTTTGGCTGCTTCGAAGAATGGTTCTAGGGCAAAGATTCCCTCCGCGCTGTATGTTCCTGGTTGACCTTCTAGCAGGGCCCAGTCGACATAGAAAGATACGCAGTTCTAGGACATCATTAGAGTAATGTTGGGGTGAAATGTACTTCAGTAGCGATCCAGTCGGGATTGTTTCTTAATGTATATAAAGCGAGAGTTGTACTTACGAAACCTAAAGATTTAATCTTCTGGAACACATCGAGAAACAAATCCGTGACGGGCAAACGATATGGGTGGAATTCTCCGGAGAACATATAAAGTCGCTCCCCATAAACCTTGATTGAATGCTCATCAAAAGTCACCTACGAAAAACTTTGGTCAAACACCGAACATTCATTGTAACCTCTCGGAACGACCAGGAAACCCGAGCTAGACTCACTATATCTTGCAGTCCAACACTATCGCGGTCAATAATTATATCGCGTCCACCTATTACCATAGAAGCAGCTCGCGCCGCGAGGACTAAACCGGCGATATAATTGAGAAGCTTCATTTCGACGGAGCGCGTTCAATAGAAGTCCCAATGGCAGAGAAAAAGAAAAGCAACAATAAAAATATATTGTATTTTATACCTGGGGATCGAGCTATAGCTAGCTCGGTACCCCACAGCCTGGTACCACTCCATTCTTGCCACACATTACTGCATGCATTTCAGAATCCACTGATACAAAAATTCTAGGTATAACTTGGATCTGGCATCATTTTTCGCCAGGACAGGTACAGGGACCGAGCAAGGCAAAAGAAGAACCCGACATTACGCGGGGTAGAGTTTCCTAGTATGTGAACTGGCGAACCAGAAAGCTTGTTGATGGCGGTACACATAGCCGCCCGTCGTGCGGGGGAAGCTTGTGCAGAAAAGGGTACGAATGATATAGAGATGGGGGAAAGCGCTCCAATCGGAGTAGATGGCAGTCAGCAAACCCCTGAGAAAGCAGCAGCAACATGAGGAGGTGGGCGGGGATAGCGGGGACCCCATTGAACTGGAGTGGTTCTCTGAGTCCGTCCGAGAGAGAGATCTCCGAGAGAGAGATCTACCGTGAAGAGATGTTGGTCCTATTCAACCGTCTGCCATCTGCATCTCCCACCCTCCCTCGATTGAAGTTTAAAGGGAGGTATCATAAGTCCTAAGGAGCTATTATAGAAAGAAATAACAAATAAACATTCAAGATTCAAAACATACGAAAGCAATCATGTGAGGGAGCAACTCCTAACTCACTCGATATCAGAAGACATAGTTGGAAAAGGTGATCGAAGGCGAACTTTCTCAATGACGATGTCATCCGGCTAAAGTGCGGGGTAAATAATATATTTCGGCTGTCCACCCGAATCTGTAATTTCTCCGAAGCGATGGAAGAGATGGCCTTTCTACAAACCTCATCATCTGCAAGTCGTGTATTATTACATAATACCAACCGATATACCCGTGAAATTTTTTTTCAGAAGGAACTTTCTGAGACCATTCTCAGGATGAAAATTCAAGAGTTAGACACACTAGTAGGTAAAGCGGAGAAGCTTATTCTCTAAATTTTATTATAGTTTATTTGAACCACGGAAATTGCCTGAATCCCGGGGGTAAAGAACCATATAGTCAAGTAAGAGGACCTAGGTAACTCATAGTTACCTCGGTATAAAGACATCTGTAGATGGCACATACGAATTGCACGACTCGGACACATGTATAGATCATATATATGTGGAGGATATGTTGGATTGTCCAAGAGGTATGTACTAATAGTCTTCAAGTACGTACACCCTACCCCCCTTTCCTCCATATACCTGGCTACGAGTATTATGTCTCTACCAGCCTCTAGAGGCACTCATTTATAACATTTTGGCCCGTTTCACCTGTAGGCGGCTTGCAACTATAGGGGGAGCAGCATGGTATATTGACATAATCAGCGCCGCAGTATTGCTATGTAAACCAGTTGGTTTGTCTTTGCGTCGAGGGAATAATGACTCAAATTACTCTGTGGCCTAGGCATGTCAATCCTCGTCTCTTGAAAAGACCATTGTCGTTGTCAATAACTGCAGCTGAAGCAGTCGCGAGAAGAGTAACGAGAGTAACGATGGTAAACGTCATATTCGTGCTTGGTGCTTGGTTGGTAATTGGAAATAGATTTGGTAGGCTGCTTAAATTTTGGATGTCGATTTTGGTGTTTGGTTGCCAAATGGCAATAGAATATGGCAGCTTACTTTGAGTTGGATCTTCGTGTTGGAAGCCAATGAGGAGAGAGGATTGAGGGTCGGTTATGAAAGAAGGTCTTCTGAGTAGGCATTTACCTACTTATATACCCAAAATCTCGACGACACATGCGCATTTTGTTAATAGTGCAAACACCGTACAAATGAACTCAATTGTGGGTACGTACCACGATCAAGGGAGCGAAAGTTCGTCATTCGGACCTTTCTTCTTTGACAAAAGGTAAAAGAAATCTCTTCAAACGTTTGTAGCTCTTAGTAAACTAATCTAGTTCTTTCCATGTGGAAAGCGTCTTAGATCCTTTGTAGATGTACACTGTACAGTCTTACGAATCTAGCTACCTCTCTGCCTTTGAACTAACTCTATAGTTTCCGAGAAATACTAGCATTATTCTTAGAATATACCAGCATGCTTTGCCGTTAGTCTCAAAAATCAAGTTGAGTAAGGTTTTACTTATAACCACTTTGGTTATATTTTCTTTTGCTCAGAATATACGCCATACTACCTAACCTCTGTCAATTGGAATCTCCTTCCTTTGTAGGACCCCTATTTGAAATTTTAAGGTTACGTGTTAAAGATCTAGAATTATACCTATTTATTGGGTTGAAAGGGTATTGGGTACCGAAGGTCATGGAGAATTGATTGCATTGTAAAAGGTAGCTATCTAAGGTGTTTATATAAAGAGTGTAAGGTTTAGGCAGACATGAAGCATTTAGGCAGCAGAACTATAAGTGGATCAAATAAGCACAACACTATTATATAACCATAATATGGCTGTTCTAATTCGTTCGAATAAAAGGAAGCTTAGAAAGCTTAAATGGCTTATTAGAAGGCTTAGGAAGCTTAGGACGAACTTTATTGTCGAGGAGACTGTCTCTATATAGATATGAGTAGACTAAGCTAGCACGCATTAAAGCGTAGTAAGCAAGCTCGTAGCATGCGATTAGCCACTAGTGAATGACTAAACCTAGTTAGTCAACCGCTCTCACTTTAATCAGACCATTTTATTAGTCAAAAGGTAATATATACATCCTCTGGAATTCCAGATTCTAGAACCATTTCTATTTAGGTTAACGTCCATTGGCAAAAAAAGGTTCTTTCTAGTACATTCTGTTTTAGGTTCTAGATTCAGAAGACCTAGAATTATATAGTAGTAAACCATCATTTTTAGCATCACGTCTATAGAACAAGTTCAATATCCTATGGTATGAGAGATTTAATTGGTTTTCATTGTAAAAAAGCTCTTCCTTTGGCATATTCCGTTCTGAATCAAATAGCCTTGGAATCGTATTCCAGAATCCAGATGCCGAACGGTGACGCTGCCCGGCCCTTGCGACTTGACCACCACAGAGTCTATCTTAGTTACTAGTCACTATCTGGGATGGTTTCGCTTACTGCTCTTTTGAGGAATGGCATCTAGAGAGGTTTTCGGGAGATTTTCTGCCTTGAAATTGCTCCGAACTGGAGTATCTACTCTTGATACTTGTCCCTACTCGTTACGATAGATCATTTTATTATGTTGGACATACTAAAACAAAAACTCATTGGTATCTTGAGTAGGACTTTGGGCGGGCATAATAAAGAGGGGAACTTAATAAGCTTTTTGTTGTACTTGGAATGATCTGAAAATAATAGAATTTCTGTATTAGAATCCGAGAGTGTTTTGCCACAATGAGTAATTCTAATCAATTTCTTTTTCTACTATTGTAGGCAGTGGTGGCGTGGTTTTATTGGCTGAAATTAACGGGCTAAACGACTCCCAGCTTTCAAGTTCAGATTTGAGGTCAATTACCTCCCAAAAATAACTTTCAGTACGGCAGATCACCAGATTACGTACTCATGCTACGTACCATTCCCGATTCTCGCTTGTATCTTTACTAAAAGGGGGGGGGCCTTCGAGCCAGTCATGGTCACGTGAGATGCGTTTGGCGCTAAACCGCTCCTGGAAGCTCACGACTTCGACCTACTGGTATACCCAGACTGCGACGAGACCAATTGACCGGGAACGCCAAACCACCACCATGGCGACCTCAGTCCTCGGCAGATTCCTATTGCCCTCAGCGCGCATGTCCTTCTCCATATCCGCCAAAAAAGTCGCATCACCCACGCCATCTCTACGAAGAAATTTCTCCGCAACCCCAACACCATTCGCAACATACAACCAAGTCGTGAAGGTATGCCTGCGCAAACCACCTGTCCCTAGGCGCATGGAAGTTTACATGCTAATATTTTGAATAGGGATGTCGAGTCCAACAACGTGCCCGTAAAGCCGTCTCCCCCGCTCTGCATGACGCCAAAGCTCCCGAATTAAAGGGCGTCTGTCTAAAAGTCGGCGTCACCTCTCCCAAGAAACCCAATTCGGGAAAACGAAAGACGGCAAGAGTAAGGTTGAGCACCGGAAGGATTGTCACTTGTTATATTCCCGGTGAGGGTCATAATGTGCAGCAGCATTCGGTGGTGTTGGTTCGTGGGTAAGTGAGACTCTATTCTGTCTTAAAATTGAGGGTTGGAATTGGGACTCATTTTTGGTGAATTTAGCGGGAGATCGCAGGATTGTCCTGGTGTGAGATATCGTTTGGTCAGAGGCGCTTTGGATCTGGGTGGTGTTGGAAATAGAGTTACGAGTCGATCAAAGTATGGCGCGAAGAAACCGAAGAAGGCTGCTGTGTAGAGAATTGGCACGAACGAGAATCGTCGAATATCAGAAGCGGCGAACAGATTCCGGCTAGGTATGGGCTCTGCATGTCTGGCGTTGAGAGGGAATTTTCGGTGCATTTGTATGTACCAATATATATATTGTACCAATAAAGGAGGGGGGATTGCGGGCTGCGATTGAGGAAAATGGATGGAAAGGGCCATTTCAAGTTTATAGGTGCAGCTGCCGGAATTCTACTGCAAATACTTATCTTTTATGGCTTACAACAACTTGGAAAAGCAAAGTTCGTAAGTACTTTTGGGGATTGTTGGGTTGTTGGGCTGAACGGCTAGTCAAACAATGAGATGTCTGCAAGAGACATTTGGCTGGATCAACTTCTGTTGTTGCTAGGAATCAAGATGCTGCCTATTTCAAGGTTGGGGAACATGCGGGTTATCAAAATCATATTTCTTCGTCTGGTTGGCTCGGTTGCATTGTAACCTTCCATCCTCTTTTAGCAAGTTGTATACCAACTTCAGCTGTTAATGCTGATGAAATAACATGAATGACCTTAATATACAATATCCCCGTCACAGTATTCTCTTACAGAGCCATAACTCCCCGTTTCTTTGGAAGCCCTCCATTCAAGGAGGTTCAGTGGAACCTTGTCCCTGAATCGCTCCTTCCTTGCCCTCAGAATATCGCCACCAAGCAAGTCTTGCCGCAAGTGTGTCAAGCAGCCATCAAGAAGGAAGGAACGAACCAAACCTAGCTCCCAACAGCCCAACATATCTTCTCAACCTGATCCCGCTCGCCCTTCTCTTCTCTTTCACACTCCAAACTTCTTCTCCATCCTCAACACCACCCATTTCATCCCCGATCCCACCCATCATACACACAACCGTGAGAGTTCCTTCAATGGTTCCGAGTTACTGAATCACCGAGGTCGGAATGAGACGTTGAGAACCCCAGTGAGCCCACATCTGCCTGCAAATGCCTTGCCGCAGACGGGTTGGGGTCCTTGAGACGCGCTCCTCCTCGACACTTCTGAATAGGCGTCCTCACTTTCTCACACAACTGCTGTGGCTTTGGCTTTGGTCTATTTTTGGTGGCTTGAGTACTGGGTGCGGAGATTCCTTTTGTGATTTCCCTTGTTCATGGTCTTCTCTACTGGGGGGTGGTGATTCTGATTTTGTGGGGTTTTGGGTGGCAGGAACTGGATGGAAGTTCTTTTGGTGAGTACACACTACAGATTGTTCTACTAAATACTTCTTCCTCGCTCAGGTCTTTCTTCGGAGCATCTCTACCAAATAATGTTCTACCGTGTGGGAGAGCTAAACATAAAGCAAAGTCCTCAACGAATCATATTCCCGATTCTTCTAGCTGACATCACACCTTACGGCAGAGGGATTCAGCAAAAAACCGCCAAAAAAGCCAAAAAAAAAAAACTTTTGAAAAAGGCAAAATCTTTAGGTTTTCTAGCATCGCAGCTAGGAGGCTCCCCTTAGAAGAAACCCGAGTATTGCATGTATTTAAAAGTTTTAAAAATTCAAAAAAAGGCAAAAATATAATCTTTTTTTCCTAGGAATTAGTATGAGCATTTTTGTAGATTTAAAGGAGAACTTACTTTTACATACGACCGAGCGGTCTGACGCTTGACCAGGGCGCGTCCAAATTAACGGAGGCAACAGCTAGTGGTGATGGCGCTTATGGGAATTGGTGCATATGGGAGCACACACTAATTGACTGGGCCAGGCGGGCAGGTTTAATCCCAGTTTTGATGGTGGCGGATGTCTTATTTAGCGATATGAATATTGTTTTGCGACTTTTGTGGGACTCACGCTACGCGAGGAGCTTTGATTGGTTGGAGAATCTTCGGGCTATTCGGTCAACCAGTCTTTACCCCATACGTTATTCTTATGGTACTCCCTCTACCGTGAAATTCAGTAATGATGCGCTCTCGAGGAGTGATTGAATTTAGCTGTTGTAATTGTTATTAACCCGGCGCGGTAGGTGTGTAGTGGTAAAGGCTCTGGGATTGATCGAGGTGCGCGTTATTCGAAGTAGAATGTAATATATATAGGGTATAATCGTTTTCCATGGAGACAATTAATACTATAATACACATTCCTCACCCATTTATAGCGGGCTCCTAAATGTCCATCACGCATTCGCATTTTCCCTTTTTCGCTTCTGCACTGTTCAACTGGTATTCAAAATAGATTGATATACGTTTGATTTGCGTTAAGATTTCCATTTCTGGTTGTTAACTTGCTTCCAATTCCGGGAAAGTAATCTCACATTCCCATAATCTTGCAAGATTGTCTGCTTGAATCTAGAAAATCTGATCTGTTTCCATGAGGGACATGAAATGAAATGAAATGTTTTGTTCGTTGGCTCTGGAAAATCTGGCAGCTTTTGCTTATAACGCGGAACTGTCGAAAAGAGACAGGATTCAAGCGAACGTGCGATGATGTTGCACCACCAAATCTGCGAGGCATAGATATCCCCTCACATCCCCTTAACTCTGCACTCCTCAAGTAGCTAGACTGGCACTTTAGCGGGCCGACTCAGAAAGCAAACGGAACTAATCACGTGGGCGACGCGTCTCTCAATCACCTACCTCGCGTTATCGAAATCAAACGCCATCCACCAAAAATCCCCTCAAGATACCAATTATACTTCACTTCCCAGTCCAATCCAGAAATATAAAATGGCACCCCGCAAAAGAAAGCGAGCGAGGGTAGATTCGATTTCTGAACAGTCCCCTTCACCGAGTCCTATAATTTTCCGCATCCCCGGCCAAACCCCCGATACTCTCTTGAGCGTTCTCGGTCAGGACTATCACGTCCATTCAATGCTCTTAAAGCTACACTCGAACTACTTCAGACGCTTCCTAGATTCCCCAGACAAATCTGGAGAGCGAGCTTCCCATGATTTTCGATATCACTACATTACCGTTTTCGACGATGATGAATGTGGCTGGTCCTTGGAGTCCGTTGAAAAGGTCAGATCAGGTTGCTCGTTTGACTGGCTTGTTTTCAACCATTTGGCAACGCAGAATGCTAACAGCCCTGATGTCCTAGGCTACCCCAGCAACACCAGCAGAGGTCTCTCGCTATTATTGCCGAGAAGAAGAATCCACGGCGTTTCATCACCTCTTATGCACGATGTACAACAGAAAATATGCGATCCAGAATGTCTCTGCATTGAAGTCGCTGACGAAAATAGCCGACTTCTTCTGCGCCTTGCCCATAGTTTCTGCGACCATTGTCGAGACAGTAATGACTGGTCCTATGACCAGAACGAGGATGGAAGAATGGAGTTCAAGAAGCGAATTTTCACGGAACGCCTGCGAAATTAGCAGAATTGCACAAAAGCTTCGCAATCCTATTCTCTTCCGAGACGCAATTATCGAGGTCGTGAGCCGATGGGACTTCCATCAGGAATTTTTGTTCGAGATAGGCATCAAAGCCTCTGATTTCTTCGATGGTTCAACCCTCCAACTGATTGAGAGAGAATACACACAGGTTGCCAAACTTCTAGTCAGGTGCAGCCATCGCCTCCTACTTCGTATACTCGACGGCCGCTTTTGGGAAATTGGAAAAAGGGTCCCTGCACCCGAAGACGAATCGGCATGGCGCAGCGCAGATTTTTATTATCGAATCAGACTAAGGATCATCGAGAAGTTAGAAGGCATATATTATCACTTCGTTCGGCCAGAAACCAGAGAAGCCTTGGATAAGCTGAGACAGTCAATAGATGAGTTGATACAGAACAACTTGGTTTTAGATCAGTCCCACTGTGGTCCAGGAGAACTTGGAATGCATGAGCACGCCTTTTTGTGTGCAAAGATCTCTGATGATGATTTGCCTTGGGACACTTCGGAGATTGACTGGTAGGAAGGCGGGATGCATGCTTAATGTACATCTGTCTTAAATGTTAATCTTATTTGGTTCTAGGGATTTGGTGGATTATTGGTCTTGATTTGGTTTCCTTTCTTATCGATTGTTAATAGACAAGGGAGTCATGAGTATTGAGTTGGGGTTGAGACTCCAGAGGCACAAGCCAGCTTTGTAAAGATTTCAAGGTTGTCGTTGATGGGTATCGAATCACCAATGTCATCTCGAAAGAGAGTACAAGTTGAGACTCAACGCTTATGCTAAAATTTTCGGAGTCTCCGTTGAACCTGGAGTTTGCCAAACAGATTACATCAGATAAACCCATAACGCGGAGTACGCAGCTTCCAATAGCCATCTGTCAGCTAAGCGAGGATCGTGGGGCTCCCTTCAAACAAGCTTAGTGGGTACAGAAAACATCTTCACTCTGCCATCTTCCAAAATTGATAGTGAATTTCAAGAAATTGTATGACTTTGCTTCAGAATCAGAACTGAAGCAGTCATCTCAAATTCTCGTTCGTGGAAAGCTATTCAGCGAAGTGATGTAGTTCGCATTAAGACCCCACGTATCGAATGTATACCAAACTCTAATAATTCATCATTATCTCTACATTACTTATCCCGAATAGTATATGTCATTCGCAATCACAAGCCTCAGACTTCACGTTTGAATGTTTAGATGTTTCCCCAAAGTGAAAACAATAATTCTTTCCGTAACGCCAACGTATTTCTATATAGAAACTTAGTGAAATGAGATTATTACAAGATCAATCAGATAATTGTGGCTGATCAGTGAGGGTGCAATCATTATTCCTTCTTGTTGCAAGAAACACTCTTTACAGTGGACTTGATAGTACTATATCAAAATCTCTGCATTCAGTCAAAAGTATTTACTCTCCAATTTCAAGGGGAAAATGATGGGTCTATTTTCAACCCAACAAACAACAAATCCCCTCCCTATCCAAAGAAAAGACAACATCTCCCGAGTCCCTACCTGATGCCAAACTCAAAACCCAAAAACCACTTAACATATCCTAAAAATCCCTCGTCCCCCTCACCCGCTCAATCGCCCCCACATACCCCCTCGCCCAACTAAACCTCCCAGGATCAACCCCAATAACCCCCTCCGCCTGCGCACCCCTCTCATCCCTCCAAACCCCATCCTCCTTGCTCACCTCCCCATACAAATGCGTATTCTGATTCCGTCTCAGGGCATCAATCCAAGCGCGACAAACATCCCTGCTCTCGAACATGACATTGATTTCCTGGCTATGGTACCAAGATTGCGTGTCCTGGTTTTCATTTCCTTGGATGCCGATGGATTCATCGACGATCATGACCTTGATGTGGCAGCTTCGCTTTTTCCGTTTCGCGACGATGGTGTGCGTCATGTCTTTTGCGCTGTAGAAGAAGTAGTGTAGATGCTGTTTTGCGGGGGTGGAGAGGGAGGTGTAGAGTTTGTGGGAGATCATCTCGCTGGTTCCGCCTTGCATGGGGAGGAGCTCGCCGGTGTCGTTGTAGCCGAGACATGTGTAGATGTAAATGTCTACTCCTCGCTCGTAGGCTTCGATGATAGCTGGGATGAGAGGCTCGGCATTGAGGGTTGGGGATTGGATGAAGATGTTCTTTTTGGCGTTCCTTAGGGCTGACAGCCAGGTTGCGTTTTGGGGGTTGGAGACGGAGTGATGGTTGGGTGTTCCATAGGGTTCTCGACATACCATTGCCATGGGGAAGGCTTCATGGACTGGATGGGGAATGTAGGGCGTCATTTCTTCTTGGGGTGGGCATTCTAAGCCGTCACCTTTGAAGTCGATGTTCTTGGTGTGGTTGAGATGACGGGTTACTGCCTCAACTCGAGTTTCTCCGTTTCTGGGCGATACAGAATTCTGTATTCTAGCCACCTCGCCCCCAATATCTTCTTCGTAGTGAGGGTCATCCGTCGTATGTTCAGGGAGTTGGTCACTGTATGGCGTTGGTTTCTCAATTTGGTGTTGAGGAAGTGCTTGTTGACCAGAGTTCAAGAAATTCCGGGATGCCAAATCTGAGCCGTTGACTCCATGGGGTTCTGTATATACATTGTTTGGTGGGCCGCTATTCTTGACATACTCTCTGGTTTTGTCTTCCTTCGGATTTGAAGTGCCATTTGGACCAAGAGAAGAGACCCCCTTGGCGGCTCTAGAAATGAGTCCATCTCCGCTTCTTTCATGGGCTATATGTTCAAAATCCCCTGTTGTCCCAGCTGCCCTCATATTCTCCGCAAGTAATTCTGTTTGTCGCAAGTCCTTACTCTCAAAGCCATGGTGTAAATCTTCTGACGGCATCTGGTTAGATCCATTTGGACCGCCGTTTGTGGTTCCGTTTATTGTTCCAACTGGATGAGTGACATTTTCTGACGTGCTGGGACCGAGAATAACGGCGGTGTCAGTGCCAGAAGTATCGGACGGCCCAGATACGGGTCGTTTTGGCTGGTGATGTTGCGGCGTGTGTAAGAATAAGCATCTGTGTTCTGTGTCTTTCCTGGGTGTACAATAGCCGAGTGGCCATTCAAAGCACCATTCTCGCTAAAGACACGATCGTGATCTGTGCTGAATGTACTAATTCCACCCATGACAGCTGGTAAGTTGTGACTCGGTAGTGGTGGGATCGTCTTTTTGTGCCAAGATATCAAGGCCATATCGTAGAGTGAGTCGACAATAGGACCTTCTAGTTGTGTCATCATCTCCAAATTATCGTTATCCTGTATGCTATTGCTCTGAAGAACGGCAATCTTTCGGTCCACAACCATGTATTTGCAATGAAAAGTTCCCAGCATTGGCCTGTGATAACTGGTTACTTCCAGGTCAATGTTTGGGATTTCGTGCTTCGCTGGAAGAGCAACAGCTTTTCCTGTGTAATCCTTTTCGGGAATGTCTAAGTGGTTATCAAATAATGGCTTTGGGCTTCCACGATCGTATTCCAATTTAAATACTATCCTATCACCTCTTTCTCCAGCTCTTTTTGATAACTCTTTCATGGCATTGGTGATGTATTTTGAAGCGACGGAGTTTTGCCCTGAAAGTTCGAGGATTAATACAATGAACAAATTCAAAGATACATGATGAGGAAATGAGAGTGGTGAATTTATTGTAGTGGCGATTTTGAATCTATTTGAGATGACTTACAATAATTTGTTGCTAAAATCACTTCTTTCTCAGCTCGGACAACAATATTGCTCATATGACGCATAATATCCGGAAGACTGAAGTGAACATCGTGAGCATTATGAACACAATCAATAGAGTTCCACATACGTTGAGATGATGGTCAAAGGAATCACCCCACAGCTTCCCATCAAAGGAGGGCTAACCATTGAAGAAGAAACGTGATCGTTGAGTGAACATAAGGCATCATGATATAACTTTTCATTTACTGTTAGCTTTCCCTCTTCGAGTATAACACCAAAGTGTAGAACTTGCTTGTAAGAAGAGCTCGCTCGGCTTAGTAGGTCCCCATTTCCGCATTCTGCTGCCCGTTGTATTTCCTCCTCGTAGGTAAGAAAGAGGCTTGTCTCTGGTTTCCCTACCTACATGCTTCACCTCGAACAACTCTTTCCACGCATCTCCTGGTGCTATTGATGGATCTTTAGCTAACATGGAAGATACAGTTTCATTCCTCCTGCAGAGCTGATAAATCCTGTCTGAAATCATCTCGATAAATTTGCTTGATCCACTTGGTAATCGCTTTTTAGAAGTGTTTTTGATGGCGGCATAAGTAGAATTTGATAACAAGGTCCTCTGTCGGCGGATAGTAAGAGAGCTGTAAGGGAAGATGACGAAAAGCTGTATGCAGAAGGACAGAAGGGCTTCAATCTTCTGGAAGAGAGCCATGGCTAAGAGCTTGGAAATGGGGGTTGTTTAGTAGGATTATATTTAGATCGTCCAGTAGAAACTCCTCTCGGGATCTAATGCAAAGTAGCTCGTTGCCGGTGTTCCGAAACAATCATGTGAAGGGCGAACGAGCACTACTAACTCACACGAAATACATAGACGCCATGACGTGGAAGTGGAAGAGTAAAACAAGCTTTTGCCAAGACCAATAGCAATCTTGGCACCATAGGGCAGGGATCATACACTCTTCTGATTTGTTCAGACTTTTCTTGGGACCTGGGGAATGATGGTGCCAGGCCAGGGCAGGGCTGAGAATAAAGTTGGACAACGCGCGTAGGGGGGCGTTTCCCGGTTATTTGGTAGCAATGTGGCTTAGTCTGGGGTTTGTGTGGCTAGCTTGCAGACTGCTTCCATGCCTGGGTTTTCGAAAGGCACAGCAAAACATTGGTAGGTGGAATAACAGATGTTGTGTTGTACCTAGTTCTCCTGAATGTTGTTCCAAATCGAAATCGCGGGGATTTAGGGGACCGGCCATACGTCATTTATCCGATGCCAAGCTTTTAACCGAGCCCCAAAAATGAGGGGCCAACCTTGTGAGTAATGGAGATCTCCCGTCGTGAATTCATCGGCGAGGCTGACTTGATGTGACTTTGACCTCGACATCCCCACCCAACCAATAAAGCAGCTCAACCAAATCTGGGCTCTGTGACCGTAGCAGGCTTTTCAAGAGAAGCACCCTACAGAGTCTGCCATCAGCACTACAACGTTTTGCGGCACTGCAGAACCTTCATCATGGCAAGGACTCCCCCTTCTCCCCTCCCCGCACTACCAAGAAGATGCCAATAATAACCTTGTCCTCCGCAGGCCTCCGAGTCTCGACTTTACACTTTTTCCCATGAGACCAAAGAACACTTACGCAAATTTCGACTCGGTACCTCTCGCTCCAATGATCCGCAAGCTGTCATCTGTACGTTGACCCTTGGACCCTTTCGAAGCTCTGGGAGTATAAAATCTGACAAGTGGGATGGTAGACTTGATTGATAAGAACACATTGGAGATCAAGCAGGATGAGGATAAAACAGTATACAAGGACTTGCAGGAAATCGCAGACGACCTGCCAGACCACTCACCGAGATTCGTGCTGTTGAGCTATCCCATGACGAATGTAGGTAGTCTCCTCGCTCTGCAAGGAGGAAGATCCTTAAGCACAAATTCAGTGAGCTAACACCTGAATCCTGTTAGTCTTCAGGAAGAATGTCGGTACCATATGTCCTCCTTTATTACCTCCCTGTCACCTGTAACGCCACCCTAAGGATGTTATATTCGAGTTCGGTAGAGTTGATGAGAAACACAGCTGAAGTGGGGAAGGTGATAGAGATTGAATCTGCAGAAGATCTCGAGGAACTACCCAAGAAGTTGGGCGCTGCCTGAATTCGGCCTTTTAATCTAATGTTATTGCTGGCCATGAAGTCAAGTTTCCTGTTGTTCGCTACGAATCAAGGGGTGCTGCGGCTTCTTAATGACTGTTTGCCCAAATGACGGGCCTCTTCCAAGTGGATAATGCTACAAGGAGATAGTGAGGGTAGTTGGAAACACCAGAGCTAGGTCTCTGTCTGTGTTCTGCTCTATCTCCGTATTTGACCTTTCTCGTATTTACCCATCATAAATCCATCCTATCATATCTTCAAGCCGCGTTACTGCAGTCAGCATTGAGCAGCTGATATTAAATTAACTGTGCTTCGAAGCAGTTTTATGCCTTCATAACATCTCGCTCATCCGCCGTACTACTCGTTCTATCGTCAACATGACCAGAGTTCTCAGGATCGTTTTCCTCGCCATCGAGCCCCTTGTACCAGTTCCCTCTTTCCGCACATAACATAACAGCAACAAAAACAATTTCCAGCGCAAAGAACATCGCAGCCAACTGATAACCATACTTAAAATGCGGCGCCTCTCCCGTGTTGAACACAAGCAAAGGCACCCAAGCCTGGAAAGTATAAGCCATCGTCTCAACTATGGCAATGACGATGATACGATGTTCCTGGGAAAATTCACAAACCTCATTTATCCACGTGATAAACAAAGCACCTGCGCCTGTCTCGCAAAACGTAAGGAACCATCCAGTCATCATAGCTGGAATATTGTCCGACGGCCAGATGGAGAGGATTATGCAACCAATCACCGCAATAACACACGCGAATGTGATGACTGGTGCACGCATTCGTATCGCATCACTAACCCAGGCGTAGCAGAGGGTAAAGAAAATTTGGAGTCCGTAGCCGGCTGTAGGAATGAGGTTTACTTCTTCAACCGACCAACGATTCGTCGATTTCAACCAGACGTTAAACTATGAATAAATCCTTATCCCGAGAACGTGACAGATGAAGGCACCGCTGAAGAGCCAAACCGGCCATCCGAGGAAAACTCGCTTGAATGTGCCGAGTGTAACTTTCGTCGCTGGTTTCCTTCCTACTTGGTCCATTCGCTTGATCGCCAATTCTTTCTCCTCGGCGTTCATCCATCTGCTTTTACAGGTAGTTGGCGAATCAGGAATCGCCCAAAATCCATAAAGCGCGATTGGGATACCAAAAATACCATCAAACACAAACAACCATTTCCAAGCTGGCAAACCGGCCTGTCCGTTCATCCCCTTATACAAAGCCGCTTGAAGATAGCCACTAAACATTTGGGCGGCGCTGGACGAGGCCTGGAAAATACAAGCTCGTTTTCCTAGTTCGGCTGGGGTATACCAACTTCCTAGAAGAGTCATGATACCAACGTACGCGGAAGCTTCAAACAGCCCAATGAAGAACCGGAATGCGAAGACGGTTTCTTTGGTCTTAGCTCCAGCTACGGCTATTGTGAAGACCGACCAGATCAGTTCACAAGTGGGGAGTCAGATCGAAGGGGGGATCTTGGTCATTATCATCTGGGATGGAAATTGGCCTATGATGTATCCGATGGTCCAATACGTTGTGAGAAGGTTCAGGTCGTTTCCTTTCAGATTGAGACCCTCTCTCATACCCGAGACATAAGCATTTGAGACCTGGTGTTGGGATTAGATATAAACTTTGTGGGAAAGGGCAATACAAACATTCGTTTGGTCGAGGTATTTTACAAAATATGCTCCGCAGACATAAATGAGGATCCACCAATCGAGTTTCGCGATCAGAGCTCGCTCTTTGGGTGTTTTGTCGAGGGAATCCCATATCACAGCCAGACCACGTTTGCTTAGTGGCTGCTTGCCTTGTGGTTGTCTATCGTCCTCGCCGCGTTGGCTTGGAGTTGATTCTGAAGGAGTGACAACTGTGCTGTTTGGTCCCGCTGTGGCCCCTGAATTATCGACACCCATGATCAATGAATCTTCACCTTCAGTACGAGAGGTATGAATGGATCCAAGAAAGACTGAACAGAACGATAATGGTAATCTTCAAAACCTCATGATTGCTGCCACGAAAATGTAGCCCTTGAGTAAGGAGTCCACTCGGACCACTCTGTCGGGATCTTGTTCTCCATAGCCGAAGCACGTTATTGGAGCTGAGGCGTCATTTGAACTTAGTATAATCCGTAAGGATGTTGATAGAGAAGATATCAGACGTCGGGGTTTTGGCGGTGTTGACTAAATCTTTACCGTTTTCGGTTCAGGTGGGTTCAGACAGGGGAGGGGATTGGCACAGCGCGAGCGTTGGTATTCCCGGGTTTTTCCACCTCAGCTCAGGCTTGACTCGTGAAATTCACGCTCGCCACAGATCAAAAACGGGATTTATCCTCCACGCAGGATACAGGCCGAATATGGACCATGTCATGTACCGTCGTTTTCCTGGTCGAATTTGCCTGCGTGGCGGGGAGCATATAAGCTTCAAATACCCCTGGCACGTTTTCCGTGCGACGGGGATGTCGCATTAATATTTTACTACTACCGAAGACGAAAGTTTCTGTCGAAAACACTCTTTATAGCATAGAAGACGAGAAAGAGCAAAAGAATAATGGCACCGATGGCCAATATACAGAAAGTTTGTGTGATTGGTGCTGGTCCTGGAGGTTTGGCTGCAGCAAAGCAAGTCCTTCCATATATCTAACAAACCCTTGTCGTCACTAACTTGAAATTGTCGTCACTAACTTGAAAATTTGAAAGATATCTTGCTGCCGAGAAAACATTTCATATTGGAATATTCGAACAACAAGAAACCGTTGGCGGAGTATGGTGTGCTACGCCTGAACTCACCGTCAATGAGAATTTCTCTCTTCCTCGCACGGAACCCAGTCTTGTACCAAACAAACCGGTATGGGAAGGGGATCATTTTAAATTCATTTCGCCAGTTTATGATATTCTGGATACGAATATTCCTCATACTTTGATGAACTACTCGGACCAGGAATTTCCCAAAGGATCTTCGTTGTTTCCTCAACATCCTGTGGTTCGGGAATATCTTGAGCGTTATGCTGACGATGTTCGTCATCTTATCCGATTCGGAACCCAAGTGCTTGATGTCAAGGCTGAGGGAGAGACTGGGAAATGATCAGTCATTTCTCGGGATATTGCATCAAAAAAAGAGACTACCTCGTTGTTTGATGCTGTGGTTGTTGCAAATGGTCATTATGATGACCCTTTTATTCCTGATATTCCAGGACTCGAAACATTCAATAAGGCGCATAGCAACGTTATTTCACATTCCAAACTTCACAGGAGGTCGAATGACTATAATAATAAGAAAGTCATCGTGGTGGGAAACTCTGCATCTGGCATCGATCTTTCTGCTCAAATATCTACCGTCTCTCAGCACCCGCTCTTGATTTCAGAAAAAAATGGTAAATCAACATCATTCATTCCGCCAGTAGATGATAGTGCTGCTACGGAGCTTGTTCCTGAAATCGAGGAATTAATCGTTGAAGACAGGTCTGCCAGATTCAAGAACGGACGTGTCGAAAAAGATATCGATAGCATCGTCTTCTGTACTGGATACATGTACTCATTCCCATTTCTTACCTCGCTAGAACCCAAAGTTGTTAGCTCGGGTGAGAGGGCCCAGAACCTCTACCAGCAAATATTTTACCACCCAATGCCAACACTCTCTTTCATCGGGCTACCACAACGAACCGTGCCTTTCCCGGTTTCAGAATCTCAGGCCGCTGTCATCGCTCGTGTACTATCAGGCCGTCTTACTTTGCCATCACAAGCAGATATGAGGGCGTGGGAGGATGAGCAACTTGTCCGAAAAGGGGCGGGAAAGGATTTCATACGTTGGCTTTTCCACTGGATGCTAAATACATCAATTACCTGTATGAATGGAGTATGAAAGCATCGTCGATTCTCAGCTTGGCTAATGATGGAGCTGGGAAGATCCCTCCTTATTGGGGAGAGGAAAAACAATGGATTCGAGAGAGCTTTCCATTGATAAAAGTTGCTTCGAGGAATCTGGGATCAGAGAGACACAAGGTTACGTCTTTGGAGGAGCTTGGATTCGATTTTGGGAAATCGAAAGTAGAGAGAGCTTTAGATGTGGAAAGGCCCGAAGCTATCTCGAGACTATAATTTTCCGTCCGTACGTACTAGGCAAAAGAGGTACAATTTGGGACGAGTAAAAGCTGTTGAAGTATTCGATTGTTACATAATTTACTCTCCGAAGATCTTCTCCAAATAATTCAACCAATTCTCTCCGAGGACCTTCCTAATCTTTGCCTCCGACCATCCTGATCTTGCCATCGACTCTGCGAGCTTCTCCATCTCCGCCAGTGGTCCTAGCGGTTTGACTACCTTCTGGCTCCCCCAGGGTGTTAATCTCCTAGCGTATCCTTTGTCCTTGTTACACCACGCCATGAAATCACTGGGCCTTCCATGTCCTTCGCTAGAATCTGAACCAATTCCTACCAAATCCTCACCGGCCAAACCGATGACATAATCCAGAGCACGAACATAGTCGTCTATTGTTGAGTCGTTACCTTTCTCCATATGAGGTCCAAATTGGGAAAGTCCAATGAATCCCCCCTTTGCGGCAATTCCCTTGATCAAAGCGTCTGACTTGTTTCTCGGATGGTCAAGCATTCCCCCAGGCAGGACATGAGAGAAACAAGGTGGTTTGCCAGCGGGCGCGAACTCGATAACATCAGCACTTGTCTGAGGCCCAACATGACTGAGATCAAAGACAATTCCCAATTTTGCCATCTCTGTGACAACCTCTTGGCCAAAACCTGTCAAACCAGAATCTCTGATTTCCGTATAACCAGCTCCAGAGTAATTCTGAGTGTTATAAGTCAATTGCATTTTCCTCACTCCCAAGTCGCGAAAGACACGAAGATAATCAAGTTGTTCTTCGATTCCGGCCGTGTTTTGCCATGATAAAATCACGGCCGTTTTGCCGTGCTTCGGCTTCTGATACCATTATGTTGGTTGCGGCTTTTTTCTTTATTGGAGCGGGATTTCGAATTGCACAACGCGTGGAGTAAAATTGTTCAAATTGTTCAAATTGTGAAAAGTGATTCAAAGACCTGCTAGCTACAAACACCACAAATGAATGCGGAGGGGCTTTCAAGTATCACGCTGGTCTATCAGTTCCCACTCTTTACCATGGCTAAGTAATGTGATAATGGACCCCTGCCTCGTTGATATTTAATAACCGGTTTTGGAAAATTTTAAGCGGGAATCGCCCGTCGAAGTGGGTATAGATGGATCCTGCTCTGTCACGATCAGCCGACTATTTCCGGCTTTACATCTGCTGATGGCACGCCATCGCATACGAGTCAACTCATCTGAAAATGGTTCAAATGGTTGTTGTCGTCGGGTTATATCAACATTCCGTCCCACTTACGGAATATCGAGAATCACCTCCGCCTCAACACCGACATTGAGTGGATATTTCTTTGAATGGACTCCAATGGACTCCTCAATCCATCGATTTCGCCTATCTCAGCAATTGACCCCAGATCCACCCCCGCCATCCCAGGGAGAAGGGGGGGAATCTTTGGACGCTCGAAATTCTATCCCGCCGAAGCGAATCATCTCGTGTCAACGATGCCGCAAACTAAAGAAAAAGTGTAGCAAGTCACACCCGAGCTGTACTCTATGTACTCATGCGCAAGTCCCATGTTCCTTCTTGGAGGCTTCCAAGACCTTGTCACTTTCATTATCAGATATACAGGATCTCCAGGCTAGAGTCGTGTGGCTTTCGAGCTATGTCAACAATGCCCTGCCTTTGACTTCCCCTGTGGAGTCGTTTGCCACTGGTGCAGATCTCACTGCATCAACCTCGCATTCATACGATGGCTCGTCTCCAGCTATCGGAAACGAAGATCTCATTCCAGGAGGGCCGCACTCATCAAGTTTACGCACTCAAATGCCAATTCTTCACAACACAGGCGAGAATACGATCCAGGCAACTACCCCAATCCAAGGGTTACCAAGTCCGCTCGATCAGTTAGAAACGCCCATTACGAATGCAAATAGTAGCATATCATATCAAGCATCGTCAGCTTTTAATTTACATTCCGCAGAAAGGGAGAGCATCACAAGCGTCCCAGATGAGGCAGCAGGTCGTCAATTTGTGGACGCGTATTTTCGCCATATCCATCGAGCGTATCCATTCATGGACAGAGCAGAAGTTTCAAAGAAGGTGGATATGATGGGCGATTTACTAACCGACAGAATGAAGAACATGTCTACCAATCTATATATAGTTATGGCTATAGGCTGTAAGTGTTCCTCTTACTCTAAAGGGAGTAGCAATTATTAGGGTTACGTACTAAGTGACTTCAGGTACCACACTTCAGCGAATGGGACAGGTTTCAGACGAGATCTCTGCGAAATTTCAGATCTCTTCTTGGAAAATACTGGAAGAATGTATGTCAAAAAGGGATATCGATTCCGTTGAGACGCTTCTTCTACTTGGTCTTCACTCACTCTTCGACCCCAAGGGACTATCTGCATGGATCATTACAGGCTTGTTGAGCCGCCAGATCATGTCACTTGGATTAAGTCGAGAGACATCACCAAATCAAGGAATCTCCCTCGCTCAATCCGAAAAACGAAATCGTCTTTTTTGGAGTGCGTATACCCTAGACAGAATGGTATCGAGTTCTATGGGATTACCATTTGGCATCAACGACGAAAACATGAACGTCCCTCTACCAGGAGTAACTTTAGATGAGTACGCGACGTCCGAGCGACAATACTACACCGTAACTCTACAAGTGAACCGACACGTCATCGCACTCCGACAACTCGAAGAGCAAATCCTGCAGAAAATCCACTTATCAAATTCCTATTCTACTACCTCACTCACGCAAGCCGACCGTCGAATAATCACCCAACGACTCCGAACTCAGATTGAGAACTGGTATACTCAAGGCTGTCTAGTTACACCCATGGAACGCGATCAAATTCCTTTCCACAACACGATTCCTTGGCTCAATTACCGATATCAGAATCTTCTTTTACTTCTCTACACACCATCTCATTTCAACTCGCCTATTTCGCTTGACCATGCCCAGGAATTGAGGAGGTGCGTGCAAAAGTATATTCAGCTCAGCACGATACTTTTTCAACAACGGCATCTGCCGTTAAATTGGGTGACGCTCTGTCGATTCGTCGCATTGTGCCCGGTTTTGTACTATTGTTACGTTGATAGTGGGAGCGCGAACGGGAGCGGGATTCCAAATCTAGGAAGTAAGGAGGAGGTCAGTATGTGTGCTGATATCCTGGAAGCATTTCCGGAGCGATGGTCGGAAGCGAGACGAGCTGCGGGGGTTATCCTACGGCTTGCTGGCGCCTTTGGCGCTTCGGGTTCTGCTGAGATGGATCCTAGTTGTATGTTTCCTCATCGTGCTGGTGAGGGTGCCGGTGTGGCTGGTGGAAGCGGTATTAAAGAGGAAGTTACGGATTTGGTCAGGGATATGTTGGGAGAAAGTAGTATTTATCATCAAAGTATTGAGGCAGCGGGCTTTTTGGCGAGGGAAAGGAGTGAACGGGGGGTATTTGAGCAACTGAGGAGCGACGTCCCGATGAGGGTGCTGGGTGGGTGGAATGCGGGTGAGGGGGAGTGGAATGGCGGTGAGGATTTAAGTATGGGTTTTATTTGATAAAAAGTCTCCTGGTCATGATATGGGCATTGTTGTGGGGAGTTATGGTTCAGCATGATTGGGTGGTTAGTTTCACATAGAACAAAGAGACTGTAGCATCAACATCGCTTAATTTTGCTAAGCAAGTGAAATAAATGCCAGGCTATCTTACTTGAATTACAACGCAAACCAGATTTCATTTCCAGAGCATCTTTGGGCCTGGAAAAATGGAGCTTATGGATAGTCGTTCAACTTTCGAGATGCTGTTCTGAAACAAGGTCACCCACGTGGATAATGAATGGCTTTGACAGTAAAGTTGGAAGAAATATATCATATAAAGTCAAAAACACAAAGATTCTCAAAGAGCAAGAACTGTTTCTTGATATTTTTCTGCTAATAGGAGGAGTAAAATGTTTAAACTGTTGTGCTTGGGCTGGCATTAAATTGGGTGTTTATGTGTTGGTAAAGAAGGACAAATACGAAATTTCCCCCTTTCACAAAGATCCAAGTGAGAAAGTGAAGAAAATTGTTTGTTCTTTATCTATTTGTTCTATTGTATTTGTATTAAGCGCTAGCAGTCATTGTACGCTAAAATAAACGCAGGAAACAAGAGGACTGAGAGCTGTGAACAAGCCCAATATTTGTGCATATAGGAAGGATGCCTTTCTCTGATCTCAGCATCCTTCATCACCATCTTCCAAACATACACACAACATGCAATCCAATACATCATCATCCACCAATTCCACAACCCACAGACCTGCTCGCGCAGCCACTAGCCTCCGCAATCGCCTCAACCGTCTCTTCTCCTCCAGCCCCAGTGAAACGTCCCTAGAACCCACATCTTCAAACGCAAGTGACAGACACCTCGTCCTCCAAGGATATCTCCAAAGAAGCGGTCTCATGATCGCGGAATCAGAAAGCCAGATTCTTGATTTAAGATATCGTTTGGGGGTCCTTGGAGTCGAGGATCTTCCCCCTTTGACGCCATTCTATCGAAGATGGCAAGAGTTCGTTGAACCTGGCATCGAAGCCATTCTACAACTCGGTCCGGAATACGTCCATCTCTTAGATATGCAGTTGAGCTGGGTTAGACGCGTTCTTCAAGAGCAGAACGCTATCATTCTGCATCTTCGGGAGTGGAGGAGAGAGCTGGAGAGAGAGCGTTCTCTGTTCTCGTGCTGGTAATTCTGGTGTGAGAATGCTTATTAGGATTAATTCCGATTCTGAGATCAAAGGCCTAGTTGAGACGGAAACAGAGCTACTTGTTTGGTTAAATCCTATAGAGTAGACCTCTGTATTTGGGAGGAAAAGAAGCTGGCTTCTCTTGTAATCTGCTATTTGTAACCCCGACCCCCTTAAAAATTCAACCCCTATGCCTTAAAACCCCCATATATCCTGGGCCCATCAACTAGTTATCTGTGATATTTGTGATTCAATGTAATTCCCTCGACTAACCTAAATTGGCTTTTGCCTAAGTCTCGTTCACGACTAAATCTTTATGAATCTAACCTAAAGGACTACAAGGCTGTGCCCTCTTTTCGAGCTACATATCCTATGGGCTGTATGGAACAGAATTTGATTAATGTGATTAGTATATCTTAGTAACTTGTGGTAGAACTGGTTAATCGTGTCTAAAATATTAAAATAATAACTAATTTACTGATTGTTGATTATGGTGGCGTGTCACGTGATGGATCGGCAACATACCTCACGTTATATACTCGTATAGGTAATTATAGCTACTTCTTACACTCTCTTTAGTAGGTAATTAGAAACTAAGGATAATATTTTGCTTAACCAATAGAACGTTGTTTTAATAAAGTTAGTTTAGAATCTAATAAATATTTATTTTAATTAGTTTTTTTATTATTTTAGATCATTATTATTAAATATCTTTTTGTTTATTAAATACCTAGAAAAGAAGTCAGTGATATACACGTATTTATTTATTTGAAATTCTCGATCATTTTAGAATAATAATCTTTTGTAGATTTCTTCTAGAGTTGCCTAAGTAGTATTATAAGGAGAAATAAACATAGCGGATATTACCCCTTCTTATTACAAAGTGACTTGGTAAGTTGATATGAATTAAGTATTGAATTTAAGGATAGCTCCGACATGGAATATACTCTTCTTCGTTGTCATGACTTTTCGGAACTGTACCTTTTAAAAGAGCATTATACGAGAGTGTTTTGCACCGTTTAATCAACATTAAAGAAAGGGTGGATGGAATCTAGTCGATACCAGGATGAAAAGCCAAAGCTCTCATTTTTATGAGAACGCAAGTCCGGACGAGCCGAAATGTGAAGTGCGTCTGTCAATCAAGTATCTCCTTACCAATACTAACACCGGTATATGCATCCTTAAGGCGCTTAATTAATTTGCGGAGCAAACTCCCGAGAAAATCATCAATCACATTGCGCAATCCCGTTCGCCATCAGCCCTAACCGCCCCCGTGGTTCCGAACCAATTTGATTCCAGATTCAGATTGGCAGGCATGGTGGATTCTAGGTGGAGGTCCGATGATAGAGGGGAAATGTGGCGAGCAGGGCGAAAGGGGATCGATATTTACGTTTTCACTTCAGATGAGGGGAACTGTGGTGGGTGTTTATTTTGGGATTGTTTTGGACAAAGTTAACTCCCAAACGACTTGGGGGCAGGCAAACAAACGCGATCTGGTCCGGAGAAATTTTGATTGGACTTACCTGTGCCTCTGAGCAGCGACTTGCACACGGCGTACACGCTAGAAGATTTATTCGTCCTTACACCAGCCCCCAATTTCCAATTGAAACTTATTCAGCATGTAGTGACCAGGCGAGGAGGTGAAAGCGCTTATTTTGAAAAGCTACAACCCTCCTCGCGCGAGATACGAGTAGTCATTAGCCGGTACTGTAGGCAATTAAAGCTCTTTCGTGCTGAAACGGTAGCAAACAGCCGTATCTAAAAACACTTCCAGAAAGCTATCACGGAACCATGCAACTTTCGTCTCTGCTTCTGCATCCATACAAGGAAGGTCTTGAATTAACGTACGAGTGAAGGGTTCTAAGCTTGGCATAACATCCGCAATAAGCTTCTCGAAACAATTTATGGACGCCCAACCGGCCTTTCGTACTTCTAAATTGTGGCGTAGAAGGTGTAAGCGGTGTGGAAGCTCCAGGGAGTATATCACGAACAGATTATAGGCAGGGGTGGTTGGGGGTCCTCTCATGGGCTTGTGTATGAGAATTGTGCGCAATAACCTACTCATTGGTGAAGTGGCGAAATTGGTGCTCTGCGGAAGGGCCGAATGCTGTAAAGGAGAGCTCAGAACTCATTTCGAGATGATGGGTGCACCAGGGTGTGTGGTGGTGAGATTGTTAAAGTTGAAACGATGGAACTGAGCCGTTGACGCGCAGCCTGCACTCGATGCTCGATGAAGATATCTCGATGAAGGTATCTCGATGAGGAGGATGGTTTTGATGATGAGCGAGATCGACGAGATTGGATACCTGTGATTGGTTTTCCCTATACAGAACGGAGGCTGTTAATGTATGGCGCACATCACCCGATCATGATCTACGATGTTGCGGCACGCCATCCATTAAAACTAATACCAAACTCATAAATAATGTCATGATAGGTTCAATTGTAACATCAATTAAATAAGCATATATAATTACACTAAGCAAAAAGCCAATACAGTCAAGAATTCGCTAGAAAATTCGGTCTTTGTGAATGTTACGTAGGTTGTTGATACCTCGGCAATCATGCGAATGTGTAGAAGTAGAAAGGAGGTTGCAACAGCGGCTGCAAGCCGCCCAGAATGTAAGAACAGCACCGGGCTGAAAATGATAAGAGGGAACAAGAAGAACATGATCCTGATCCCGAAGTAAAACATTATTGAAAATACACAAGTTGAAGGAAAATCGACAGAGAACATCGAAAAGAGTTACAACCACATACCAGAGGTCAAAACGAAGAAAAAGAATACTGTCGAACAACCAAATTATCAATATTTACAGAAAGAGCAAACCGGCTGCTTCGGCAAACCCCTTCCTTAGCCCAAGTTTCGACCTCAAATCGACTCGAAATAGCAATGCACTTGCCATCAAGATCATATTCCGCAACCGAAACAAAAATACGAACCCATCGGTCTCCTGCCGCAACCTCAAAGGGAACTTTGGCCCAAGATAATAGTCAAACCCTTCACTGCCCCCCAATGGAGCCAACATGCGAGTAGTACTCGATCTCTTGCTGCCAATCAGCGAACCGAGGAAAACCAAGCCGAATTCTTTCTTCTGTCGTTTGGCTCTCAATATATCGTTGCGCTTGATGCGAAGGGGGCAGAGACAGTTGGTCTGTTTGTCTATGCTGTGAGCGAGAGTCGTTCTCCCTCCAGTTATGGCCAGAGGTACGTGGTTGTGAGCTACCAGCTGGGGTGGATGTTCGAACAATGTAGCTGTTGTTTGGGTTGGTCCGGTTCACCGATGGGTCATGAACCGGCGGGTTGTGAATATCTTCATCAGAAATACCTGGAGGATACATCGAAGAGCTAGCAGGGTAAACTGTAGCCGCTGTATACAAAGGAGTTTGGTTTTGCTGGTAATTGTGGGGTGACAGATAGCCTGTTGATCCTGAGAAGTTTTGTGGAGTGCCGTTGGCGTAGTGGCTATATTCGGTGCTATGCTCGGGTGAAGTGTGTGTTGGTTGTTGATGTTCGTAGAAGCTCATCGTGCTCGTATGGTATAAGTATTCGGGATGCCCGTTCATGTCATTGTAATAACAATCTTGAGTGTTATACTCCGTGTTGCTAGAATTATTAGCTTTTATCGAGTCTTCACAACCAGAGGAATAACTACCTTAGTGCAGAGCCATTCTGACCTTGCCGTGACGGGAAAGTGCTTGCAGACGGAGAGGACATGGTAACAAGGTCTTTCGAGATGTTCTGAGAAGCAGAAAGTGTTGAGGATCAGATAGGCGTCCACGGGGATTATGAATAGAGGATAAGGGGCTTCGTTCGTAATTCTGTGAGATCTCAAGGGATCTTGTTGCGTATTATTATGCGGTGGAGCAGAGCCGAAAAGTATCTTGTTGAAGCAGAATCTGGAGGTTCGAAAGCTGTCACATATAGTAACATCAGACTATTCAAAGGAAGAATTAAATGGTAGAATGAAAGTGTTCAATAATTCGACGGCGGTGAGGTGAAAGAGATGTGTTCTCAGACATCCGCCGTTAGGAAGATGGGTAGCGGTGAGTAAATATACGGCAGCAGTGACATTGGACTCGTTTTCGGTTCGTGAGCCACCAGTGCAGAGGCATCAGGAATTTACTATATCTTTCTCAGATCGGAACTGTTTCTAAATCACTAAGCTAACAATATCGGGTAGCAGTACTGGCCATGACAAGCGTATTAAAACTTCCAACAAGCATCCCCCTCGTCAGCACCCCCTGGCGCTCAGGGGCTTTTCGTCAACCTTAGACCCCCCGTCGAGGCATACAACTTTATGTCTAGGGCAATAATGAGCTTCAGTATGAGACTTTCGGGCGAGGCAGGTTGGCGAAACTTGGCATTAACTTTTATTTTTCATTCCCACCAAGTGTATACTGTACTTATATCCCGGACACGAGCTCCAGAGCTCAAGATAACTCCAGGGCTAATCCGATCCCGGTGCTTGATTCTCTGGCCTCTGTACCAATAGCGCCAATTTTCGGTATCAGGTGGTCCCATCACTCTGAACATGTTTGTTTTCCGTACTTAGGAGCCCTCGGAATTGCTTTACTTCTAAATTTCAAGATACCCATGATCGCTCGGCAGAATCAGACATGCAGCCAAAAGCCCACGAGGTGTTGGGATATGGGTACGTTGCACAGGCAGGTACGAACCATAAGGCTTGTCGCACAATGAGTCCCCGGTTTGTCACAACGGCTGCACGCTGACCTGGAGAAAAATGATTATATTGAGGCGAGTAGAGCAGGGAAGGACAGTCATATAAAAAATCACCAGGCTCCTATACAATCGTCGATTGGTACTTCTTGAAAAGTCACTTTTTTGCGCAGCAACTGCTATTTTGGGGGAGTGACTTTTGCTTTGGAGCAGCTCGCTTAAAGCGACCAATTGAAATCAAGACGAACGGACCCACCTGACGATCCTCGACCTCGGATAAAGGGGTGAACAGACACCATTGCGCGGGTATCATGGCTCTCATGTTTGCTACAACACAGGCATCCCCTAGATCCTAGCAGCTGAAGAGGGCGGCATTGTGGAGATGCTGGAGAAAAATGGTGACACTGATTTGGAAGGCCTGAGATTACCGGCTGCAGCCTGCATCCTGCAGCCACATCAGCAAGCTGGTGCAAGGATCTTCAGTAACGGACGGCGATGGGGACTAGATTTTGGGGAGAGGCACCGCCCTCAACACGAGCAGGCTGGTACTCACCGTTCAACTAGAAAAGAGGGCGCGCTTGAAATCGAATGCGATGCCACTCTGTAAGAATACGCGAGGATGTGGGGGAAACTATCATGACTCTTCCTTGCTAGCCAAACATATAACAACGATAACAACCAACACCCAACATCGAACATCCAGCAACTAACACCGTTTAAGTCAGGTGATAGTTCAAAAGTAACGCCCCCAGTAAATACGTAGTCATGACTTTTACCACCTAACAACCTGCTCATATTCGTATGATCAATCACACGGACTTACGAGCATATTAAACCGGGACCCCGATAACAAAAATTGTTCAACATGACGAATCAGAAGTCTCTTCCAGGCACAAAGACCTACACCCACTCAGCCCAACCAGTGAGCGTTGGGTAGTCATGAGAAATATAGAACAATTTTCACTTTCTTTGTAGAACAATACCCTCGAAGTCCTACGAGTTCTTTTCATCTATGCTGTGCCTGTTTCCAGAGAACCTTCTCAAGTGTGGCTACCGGCATGGGCTCGTTGCACTACTTGGAACCAAATTCTCGGGGTCGTGGCTTCGATTGATTTCCACAGCAGTTCCAACTCCACTTTGGTGCCTTTTTTCCTACGCTTTTCAGCCTGGTAAGGTCGAAGTTGCATCCGTCATCAGACCTAGCGAGGCCATTTTGACGTGAAATGAATTCTAGTCGCCGGTAAGATTTAAAGTTGCAAGATTCTTCACGTTTCGGTCGGCTGGCTCAGAAATACTCAAGGCAGTAAGACATGCCGATCGATCAACATTTCTCAGAAATAGTACTGCAGTCGTGCTGACCGTGTTTGACACCCACACATTACGACGTACGGCTGCACGACGAAGTCTATTCTGTACCTCCGCCTTGGGCACAGGTAGCTACCGGTGCGGTGGAAACTAAGTACAAGCATTTAATAATGACTCGTCCGCTGTCTGATATGCATTGATATTCATCTTGAGAAATGACCCCGATTCATCAATAGGCAACATGCTTTCGTCGTCGTTTATTTCTAAGTTCAACTAGGCACGGAGACATCTTTTTCGGGGTAAACAACTTAATCATCTTCCCTTTTCAGTAGAACTTCACAAGAGAACTCGAAGGAGCAAAAGTTCGCCCTGCATGAAAATGGCACTGACCCTACGAATGCAGTGAAAATCGTGCTTGTATCGGGTCAATCTATACGTACGGGAGAAGATAGCATTGCAGATGTTGCCCAGAAGATTGATTACAGCGGTTCTTTGGCGATGTCAAAATTACACTACCACCCCCACCTCCTGTTTCTCCTTTCCCTATTATGGACACAACTCCGGCCACTGCAAGAAATATACGAAAGTCTCGACACGACGGCACCCCTGCCTGACCCAACTGCTTGGATTCCTCCCCGCCTTCCGGCACAAAACGATCCATCAGAATTTTGATAAACGAGCAGGCTGTCAAAATGTGGCGCTCGACTGGTACGGTTCTCATTTCAGGGTGCGTGGGGGTAACAAATGTCGGTCTGAAGCCTCTCATTTTGTTTGAGCTCCATGGCATATTAAAAATGGAAATAAGGGGGACAAAACGCAACCGAATCATCCTTGAAAGACTTGCAGAAACCTGTTTTGCTGAATGTGGGGTTAAGTAAAGAAAATGCTTTCAGTTCAGGTCCAGGTCAATCTGGCTCACCGAAATCAACTTCAGTAGCGAATAAGGAGGGGGGACGTTCCAGGCGGCTTGAAGTGAGCTTGTTCGGGATTCCAAACATATACGTTTACGACGACGCGCATTTCATCTGAACAATCTGGAGAAGTGAACTGCTGGGATCTTCACTTTGATTGAAAAGGGTTCCGGTGCCAGGAACGTTGGGGTAGTTAACCCGGAACCTTTTGCCGAACGGTCGGTATTGCCGAGTTACATAGCTGATATAAGCGATTTTGTTTCAGTTATTTTGTTATTTTTTGCTGACTTTGTTGCGCTCTCTGGCTTTCGCGTGCCCCTCATGCAATCATTGGCTATCTGTAGCGTCCATGTGGGCGCTTAGAGTTGTGGCCAACATTGGTCAAGAGTGGGAACTTGAGTGGGACAGGGACTAAGCTGTATTTGATCAGGTTTCAGTTGCAAGGCTTGTGTTTTGTTCTCGAAAATTCAAGGGACATATGGCAGATTGGTATACAGAAACGAGCCTGGTCACTCCCAACGCAAAGCTGGCCTAATTTTAAATGGTTCTTAGAAATGGTCGGCCTACGAAGTGGCCTCCAAGTTGCGGTGAAGAAGTTTCTATCCCATCATAGGTTTTGCGAGGCCCCTTCTGCGACCTTGGGATAAATGGTCACTTGTCCTTAATGATCGGCGATTTCAGTACGGTTAATGGGCTTCTCAGCAATTCACATGCCGCATTCAATGATATGGTCATATCTACCGGGCTTGTAATATGAAGTAAGCCTATAATCAAAACCCCTCTGCTATCGGTGTCAAAGCTTCGAAGCTACGCTTGTACTAGGAGATCTTGTGTAACGAGGCATACGCAACTTCTGACCAAGCCTCGATCTTCTAAGTCTGTCATTGATGACCGGACTAAAAGGGTTCCATGCACAATAATGTTCTACTGTTCGTTGCCCTTACGGGACCTTGCTCTTCCGCCTGTTCCTGCGTTGCCATTTTTTCTATCGTGACCATCTGGGTGGGATTTGCCACCATTAGCACTGTGTAACCAAGTCTTACTCAATTTGGCAGCTCAGAACATACGAGGCTGGGAAAATGCTGATGCAAAAGGGTGGGGACTTGTGGGGCTGAAATATTTCACTGGTTGAGAGAGTTTTACCATGATACGACTGAGGGACTCGGGAGCCTTGTTCCCTGAAGTCCTGAATATTTCAACGAAAACACCTATAGAAAGAACTACAACCTTTTCGTATTTATTTACTTCGATATTCTTGCACTCAGCTCACTGTTAGCGTAGTCTCTTAATCTACAGTAGCTGCTGTCAACATGGAGGTTCGAATACTTTACGACTAGGGAATATTATGGGTGCAGAATATCGACTCCCTCCCCCCTCGCCTAGTATGTGGGCGGAGCCTTTCGCAAATCTTCTTGAAGCATGGTCATGTGACTGGCTTATGTTATACCAGTTACCTTTATATGGAGTATACCAGCTCCTTCAAAGTCCTAGGATACAATACACCTGATCTAGTATATATTATTCATCATGATTATCACTAAGTTGAACTTGCTGCATTAAATCTGCGTGTGGATTTACCTTATATAACTACCTGAAATACTCGTAAGATCTTACCGAGTCGTACGCTTCCCTTTCTTTCGCTATAATCAAAATGACCACTATCCTACTCTTTGAACGTGTTTGCTTTCCTCTACTTAATAGGTCAACAAATACCTTCTATCCACAATACCAGAAAATCGTCTCCGACGTTTGATGGCCATTCCTTCCCCTGGTGGAAGGCTATCCTACGTCCGAGTTCTCACTTATAAGAGTCCAGAATACCACACCATATCCCCAAGAAAACAACATAGACTTCGATGGAACTCCGAAAAGTCTTCTCATTCTGTGCTCAACTCCTAGATTGCGGTCATAATGGGTGTCATGTACTGAATCAACCAGAAAGTGACACGAACGGCTACAGATTCAACATTGAAATCACAGCCATCACCGAATACCTACAGGTACTCACGATCTCGACTGCAAACACAGTAAACATGCCTGTATCAGTAACATAAAAATGCAGACAGGGGTGCCAGGATATCGTAATTTACACAACCCTCATAATATTCCTCACCGCAATGAAAGGCCCAACCCGCTTTCCCCCAATACAAAAACCAATCCAGACAGATTTTCCCTCCTTCCGCTGGACATCAAGCGAGCTTAGTCCATAGTAAAATTCGCAAACGGCCGGAACCTGAAATGTAAATGTTCCCAACCCAATCCACCAAGAAAGAAAAGAAAAAAAAGAAGAAAAAAAAAAGCGCCTCAAGTGTACCCTACCCGATAAGAACCATCATTCCCACCACCGCTCAATGGCCAGACACCCACTTTTGCAGCAAGGATCTTAGAACCATTGCGCATCACCTCGAGAGTGTATCAGAAACGCGAAAACCATTCATAACCTAGCAAACATATTTTGGTTCGCTAGTGCCAAACATAGTCCTTCCCTCGAA